GACATATACTCGTATTAAGTGTGGGAGAGCCAAGCTTCGGCACGAATGGGTCGGCTCGACCGGAGTGATACCACGGCCTCACAGCGTTGTGTTTCGCCGTGTGATTGAGGTTACCGGAGGCCCAATCCCGCCCCTTCCCCTATCCCTTCCCGAGCCGCTTATCCGTAACCGCTATCCCCAAAAGGCCGGCAACGCACTCGTAACTCCTTTAGTGTTGCGGGTGTCCATAGGCGGCGCCGATTGCTTACCATCAGATAATCCGTCTGCTCGTTTGCCGACTTATACCATAAAAAAATGTAGTTAGATTACCAAGTATTGCACAATAAATGTTAGAGTGGTACACGGGGATTCCGTTACTTTAAAAAGATATCTACACAATCTACATATCTTTAAAAAGGATATGTACATCACATGGCGGCCTGGGTAACTAGAACATTATTTTAATCCAATCAAACATGGAAGTTTGTGTGATAATAACGGAGATTAGAAATCAAATGTTGCTATAGATATTATACCTACATGAAGATCATTATCTTTGAGATAATGTTAGGCCAACAAAACAATCAAATTTAATTGTAGCGCAGAAATATTTTTTTATGAATAGATTCAAAGGTTTTTTCATATTATCTATTCATATGGAGTAAGTCAATAAGCTTAACCCCCTATAATTGCATATATTGGTGGGCTTTAAACCCGGCCTTGCTCCATGCCAAGGTGCAGAACAAAATGAACTGAAAAGCCACCTCATCCTTCTATGAAGCACCCGAGCGTACGGCGCGTAGCGTTCCGCGCGCGCCCCAAAGAGCCAATAGACCACCACAGATGGGACCCTATAGGGCTGATGTTCAGCCGGGATTGCGGGGTAAGCGCAATGAGGCACCGCGACCTCGGCCCAGAGCAGAAGAAGGAACAGGGGGGTTTTTAGTCAGTAAGAGTCTGACACTTCCTCCCGCCCGGCACTGGGCGGGAGAAGTAATTTGATGATTTTCCCCTCACAAAAAAAAAATCCTTCTATGAAGCAGTTATGACAGCTAAGAAGGAGGCGGAATCCTGATTACACCTCAGCCACTTTAGAAGTCGCTCCGAGTTTAGGGGATCACAATACCATGATCTGCGGCCAACATAGTGTGGGTCTACGGACGGGGAGCAAGCGTAGTTGACCGACTAGATCGGAGATCTTATATCATGACAGATGGGTCTCATTAGGGCCGATAGCCAGCTGGGGGTACAAGCAATTACCGGATGTGCGGCCCTGATAAGGAGAAGAAACGGAGTGGTTTGTGATCAGTAACAATCTGTCATTCTCTCTCGTCACACGCACGAATTTAGAAATTTACAAGTTTTATGCAATAAGTGTGGGAGAGCCAAGCTTCGGCACGAATGGGTGGTCGACCGGAGTGATAGGTACCACGGCCTCACAGAATACCGATGTGAAACAACCACAGGGTTGTGTTTCGCCGTGTGAGTGAGGTTACCGGAGGCCCAATCCCGCCCCTTCCCCTATCCCTTCCCGAGCCGCTTATCCGTAACCGCTATCCCCAAAAGGCCGGCAACGCACTCGTTACTCCTCCGTTGCGGGTGTCCATGGGCGTCGTCGATTACTTACCATCAGGTAATCCGTCTGCGCGTATGCCGACCTATTCCATAAAAAAAAAGTTAAGCACTATACGATGTTAGCGCCGGATATGTTTTAAGTAGTTTTCTTATGGTAGCCAAAGCCATTCTTTGGTACACAGAAAAGAGGTCACTGCGTTAGTATGTCAGTAAGACAATCAGAATCATTGATATACATACATAAGTACATTACATAGCTTTATCAAATGTTTCAATATCTAGATTTCCTTCAAATATTTAACCTAGATTTTATTACTGATTGCCTGAAATTGGTTCAGGCGATATTAATTGTACTTTTATTTTATGTAATAGGTCGGCAAACGACAGACGGATTACCTCAAGGTAAGCAATCAGCGCCGCCCATGGACACCCGCAACGGAGGAGTTACGAGTGCGTTGCCGACCTTTTAGGTATTAGGGATTTGGAGATTTAGTGATTGAGGAGGGATTGGGGGAGGGGAAGGATTGGGCCTCCGGTAACCTCACTCACACGGCGAAACACAACGCTGTGGTTGTTTCACGCCGGTTTTCTGTGAGGCCGTGGTATCCTGGTAAGTTACTGCAAGACATACATATTTTCAATAGTATTTACATAATAACGGTCTAACTAAGATCAAAGATCAATATGTAACATATGACATGTAATGTGACCGAGATAATCAACCAAATATGGAATACCATTTTGATGACGCCCCAATATGAATGTTTTTTTTAGCATCATACTGACGCAATTTTTACCTAAAGAAAATCATTTATCAACCTTGGTTGACCCAATGCATATTCATCTACTTGTGTCCTATTAAAATATGAAAAAAGTATTAAGTAAAGACTCTATAAATAAATAAAAGCAAATAAGTCAGGTAAAAATAACGTGCATTTAACGCGGATATGCCTCGTTTAAAACATGAAAGCGGGACAGTAACTCGGGATAGTAATCGAGTAATCTTGATAGCAGTTCAATATTGACTGGGACGAGCAACCGCCGCCGGCCAGTGGCCGTTCGATTGTTTGTGTTGACAATACAACACAAATACTCCCCTCTTTATTACTCCGAAACCCACACACTAATATTTGACGTCGGATAAAATTGATGATGGAGTATTTTATATGGAAGATCAGAATTGTATTTTCCTTCTAGAATCTGAGTGCTGAGTTCGAGTTATTTTTACGGTAGTGCGATCGAAACGTCATCGCGCCTAGCCCTGTGATTGGTTGGGTAATTGGAGCCGGCCAATCAAGTCGCTGAACGTCATTAGAGTGTCGATCGCTTTAACGTAATGCAAAACTCTCACCAGAAAATGTGGGTTATGAAAATATTAATTAATTTTAATAAACCCCCGATCCCTCACTCTGTTAGACTGACACGGCCCATGGATCCTTTACACATTACAAGCCGTTTCGCAAGTTTAGAAAATCCTTACTTCCATATCAATATTGTAAAAATGTGTTCCCTTATTGTGAAATAGGAGACAAGTAAGAATACTGATTACCTGATGCAATCAGTGCGCAACCCAGCACTACGGGAGCACCACACAAGTGCCATTTAACAAAGAGTATAAGAACTTATTTCTCTTATGATTATCTTGTTCATAGTTTTTGTTTTTGAAATAGATAGAAAGCTGAGGTTGACATAGACCATGATCATGAAATAATATAATATTATTGGTATGTATTTTAATAAGGTTTAATTATTATGTTTAACGACTTTCTGACGCATCTTTTTGATGGGAAACTCAACTAGTTTTAAGCCATGCCACGGACTCATGAGCAGCATTGCGCGAGACACGACGCGGCTAACGTGGCGCAGGCACACATCACATCATCATCCTATATAAGTGCCCACTGCTGGGAAAAGGCCTCTTCGCACACGGAGAGGGTTTGAGCATTCATTGCCACGCGCCATGCGGATCCGCGGTTTCAAACTTTATTAATGTTGATACTAAGAAAGAACATATACCTAAATCGGAAATAGTGACATTGATACTTGCCAGGTTTCCAACCCTCGTGCATGGGAAGCGGACGCCTTTAGCATCGGGGTACTATAATCTATCGTAGCTAACGCTTTTAATAAGAATGTCTTATGTCCTTATCGTTACTATAGTTACCTCTAGTAAAAGAGGAGGAATGAGGTATATGCAAATATCTTCATAGCTTTATATAGATACACAGAACAGTGTCGCGACTTGATTGATTGCGCTAAGAGAAATATCTATGATGTTAATCGCGATAAATATTTTTGGATCGATAACAATTTAGATTTACCTAGTGCAAATAATTGATGTATGTAGGCATGTAGCAATTAAATCATTTATATATTTTCACTGAAATCTCATGAATTTCATCGGAATAATAACTTCTTATCAGATTTTTACCTTTAATTACATATTATGGTAATCACAATAATCTGAATCTGTCTATGACGAAAACGAAGTTGTATTAATTTGTAATTTTTTATTACAAGCTTTTGTTGAACGCGAATTGAACATATGAATTTATCTATTGATGTGGTCTTCTTGTGCATGAGGATGACTTTTTCCGAGTTACACGTAATTTCTTAGTATATTTAAACACCACTGACAATCGGTGAATGCAACTATATACTTATTACTATATAGTATAAAACAGACCCGCTTTGTCTGTCTGTGTGTGTAGGGATACATAATGCGTTGGGGATCAAGAGACGATCTCCGGCCACCGTAAGCGCGGGTCTGCGGTCGGCGAGTAAGGGCGGCTCGCCGCCCGACCAGAACCAGGCCCGAGCGTACGGCGCGTAGCGTTCCGTGCTTGCCTCAAAGAGCCAACAGACCAGCACAGACGGGGCCCTATAGGGCTGATGTTCAGCCAGGGTTGCGGGTAAGCGCAATGAGGCACTGCGACCTCGGCCCAGAGCAGGAGAAGGAACCGGGGGTTTTTAGTCAGTAAGAGTCTGACAATCCGTCCCGCCTCCCCCAGGGCGGGAGAAGTCATTTGATGATTTCCCCCTCACAAAAAAAGGGATTCATAATAGTATGCTTAAAGAGGTTTGTAATAGAGTGATTGAAGAGGAATGTTCATATTACTTCATATGTATAATATTAATAACATTCATTAAGTTTCGTGGAGAAATTAAGTATCAGTGTAGCACCCGTGCTAAACTGGGGTGGCTAGTAATTTCTAATTAAAAGTTTGATATCGTCAACCCGATGTTAGAAACTTCACATACTTACAAACTTTCGTATATACGGTTAAATCAGACATATAAATGTAGGGGATCCCTGAATGGAAACTATGAAGTTCAGTTATTAATAGTGGATCCGTAAGTAGACGCAGACTGTTTTAGATCGTGACGTCAATCGATACCTATATGCAGCTCCGTAGTTCCTAGTTTCGAAAATATTTCCAGATTCGTTGGTTCGGAACATGAACAGTGCAATTAAACGTTTGTCTTAATTTTTATATTGAATAGTATTTTTTATTAATCTGTATGTGACAGTGGAGATATTCACAGTCATTAAATATGTTCAGTAACAGATCAATAAAATAATACCCTGTTTACATTATACAAGTGATTAATTTAGTGGTTACTTTGGTTTGCTTCCACGAGTATGTGTAAAATTTTCCTAAAAACCAGTTTGAGGTGTGCAGCTTCAATTTACAAAGACATTCCATAGTCCTGAAAATGTAATAAAAAGTTTGACAGATTCATTTATTACCAACCTATTTCTTACACGACATCAGAATTTAATTTCTCACAAACATTAAGGTTTGCGATTTTGCTCTTCAAAATAATATCTCCCGCTGTTGTACTTTTGTATTCATTTGATGAATGTCGGGTTTGTTCTGTATTTGCCTACACACAGAGGCATTGTGCGGAAACTTATTTGTCATTGGTTGTCTCCTGAAATCTTTTGATGCTCTGCACAATACTAAACGTTTTCTCTGGGATTTGGCGGCGCGGTGGAGAGAAAGATTGGTGGGAATTTAATGATTTATGAATAATGTTTTGAGTTCTGTGACGAATTGTGCGATGGTTTCAAGTTTTATGTTTCAGTTGGATAAGATAAATATGTTTGGATTGCAGGTGGTGTCAGAGGGAGCGGGAGGAGCGGCGGCATGCGCGTGGTGTTGGCAGCGCTGACGGCGCTGGCGGCGCGCGCGCTCGCCGGGCCTCACGAGCACCGCGCGCGCCACCATGCGCCCGAGCACCCGCCACACTTCCCCGCGCCGGCGCCGCCACAGCCCTACCGCGGACACGGCGAGGCCGTCCGATACAACCCCGAACTAGATACCATACTACCCAGACTTGAAGATCATGAGACTTCCTCCAAACGAGCCAAGTTTGAAGATGCAGAGACCTCTTCCAAGAGAGCCAAATATGATGAAAGATTCTATTCGAATCATGAGCGAGCTGATGAAGAGCCCATGGCTGATGAGCCGCAGCTTGGGCCAGACGACGATGACCCACTCGTCGTTCGTACTAGAAAGGGAAGAGTTAGAGGCATTACTTTAACTGCCGCAACTGGGAAAAAAGTCGACGCATGGTTCGGCATCCCATACGCTCAAAAGCCTGTTGGTGACTTGAGATTCAGACACCCTAGACCGGCGGAGAGTTGGGGAGATGAAATATTGAATACTACGACACTGCCACATTCATGCGTTCAAATTATAGATACTGTGTTCGGTGATTTTCCAGGAGCGATGATGTGGAATCCCAACACAGATATGCAGGAAGACTGTCTCTTTATTAATATAGTCACACCCAGACCACGACCGAAGAACGCTGCAGTAATGCTGTGGGTCTTTGGCGGTGGGTTTTACTCAGGAACTGCTACTCTAGATGTTTACGACGCAAAAATACTCGTATCAGAGGAGAAAGTAGTCTATGTTTCAATGCAGTATAGAGTTGCGTCCCTAGGTTTTCTATTCTTTGATACTCCTGATGTACCAGGTAATGCTGGTCTCTTTGATCAGCTCATGGCTTTACAATGGGTGAAAGATAACATAGCTTACTTCGGAGGGAACCCGCACAATATAACCTTATTCGGTGAGTCGGCTGGAGCTGTGTCGGTTTCATTGCATTTGTTGTCACCTTTATCGAGGAACTTGTTCTCTCAAGCGATAATGCAGTCAGGTGCAGCCACTGCGCCATGGGCTATTATATCAAGAGAAGAGAGCATTTTGAGAGGCATCAGATTAGCCGAAGCTGTCCACTGTCCACACTCTAGAACGGATATGGGGCCTATGATTGAGTGCCTCAGAAAGAAGAGTCCTGATGAACTAGTCAACAATGAATGGGGAACTCTTGGTATTTGTGAAGTTCCTTTTGTGCCCATCATAGATGGTTCCTTCCTAGACGAGTTACCTGCGCGATCATTAGCCCATCAGAACTTTAAGAAGACCAATCTTTTGATGGGATCCAACACTGAGGAAGGTTACTACTTTATACTTTATTATCTTACTGAATTATTCCCCAAGGAAGAGAATGTAGGGATAAGCAGGGAGCAGTATTTGCAGGCAGTTAGAGAGTTGAATCCGTATGTGAATGACGTTGGAAAACAGGCTATTGTGTTCGAATACACGGACTGGTTGAACCCAGACGATCCAATTAGGAACCGTAATGCTTTGGATAAAATGGTTGGAGATTATCACTTTACTTGTGGAGTGAATGAAATGGCCCATCGTTACGCAGAAACTGGAAACAATGTCTTTACATATTATTACAAGCATCGCAGTAAGAATAATCCTTGGCCATCATGGACAGGAGTGATGCATGCTGATGAAATCAATTATGTCTTTGGGGAACCCTTAAATCCAGGCAAGAACTATTCGCCGGAGGAGGTGGAATTCAGCAAGCGCCTGATGAGATATTGGGCAAACTTCGCGAGAACTGGGTGAGTAATTAATTTTTGATTATTGCAATCAATCTCATTTTCTTTGATACCGTCTTAGATTGCGCTTGACGTTTGACGTTTTGTAGTCGTGTGATGCTATGATCAATCATTTTATTTCAAATGTAAATGATGAAATCTTTAATGAGAATAATTTCGATAACGGTCATCAGTCACCAGTCACTCTGCTATATTTTTAAAACAAAGTTTCCTGGAAGTTACAATAAAATTTTGATTTATAGGTTTTGTATAAGTACCTGGTTTCGTATTTATGATAAGGAAAATACAGAGATAAGGATCTCTTCAGGTGAACTTTAGTGTTAACATGGGCACCGCATGTTGCCTACACTTTGGTAATAAACAAATTCGATAAGCAAAGACATTGATGGAATGTCATAGATAGGAATTTGATTGAATTCATTAATATAAAGTTAATTACCATTTGAATTACATGCAAGTAACGCATGTTGGCACACTTAAAAGGAAAATTTGTCCTCCGGATCCTTTAAAAGCGTCATAATGGAGGATAAAGGAACATGTGCATTTTGGTTTCTCGTTAAATTAAATAAGTAAATTTGTGCTGGCCGTCATTTCCACCTCTGTACATGTGGAGGATTTGTTGGCATACGAGGCAAAGGAGAAAGCTCAGCTTTTGGGTAAATTGTTTGTGTCCATGCTGGATGACGGGGCCATGAACCACTTGTCATGCCGTGTTCCCGGTGAGATTTAGATTTCACCAGCGATCGGTATTTATGGCGCTCTTGTCCATAATATAATATAAAGAAGACCATTATTAAATGCCAACTCCTTCGTTAGGTTGAGAATCATCAGCTTTCTAGTGACATATAAGTAAGATTTCAGAAAAGGTCGGTCCGCTTTTGGTCTTCTATTTTACCTGGCAAACTGTTGGACACAGGCAATCCAAAGTGGCTTACCGAGAAATTCTGCAGAAAACCCCCTGCTTCACAGCAGATAGAAGCATAAAGGTCGTTGTCGACGGCGAATACTCTGATTGACCTGGGAACTCTTGCCTCAAGGTGTCTTCAAGGGGTCTTGCATGCTTCCCTTCCCTTGTTTGGTTCTCTACATCAATAAAATGTTACAAAATTAAATCAGTGGCATTCATTGTTATGCGGATGACAGTATAGGAATGTTTTTCACTAGCCGTGCTCATATTTATCGAATCAATGAATCAAACACCACAAAACTGATATTGTTCGTATCACTTTATACTTTCTGCCTCACACAACAATTTTGGTCGCAGGTTTTCGGAACCGATACGACCTTCAAACATAGCAAGATTGACGAGATTGTGTTTAATTCATCATCGGTTTTTTATTAAAGTATGTGTCTTATCATTTCTAGCAACCCATCTATAAACCCGAATGGAGAATCGACGAAGATCTACTGGCCAGTCCACACGGCGACTGGCAGAGAGTACTTGTCGCTGGCAGTGAACTCTAGTACAATAGGTCACGGGCTGAGAGTCAAGGAGTGCGCGTTCTGGCAAAAGTACCTGCCGCAATTGATGGCTGCTACAAGTAAGTATTTGTATTGCTATTTTTTGTCACGTTGGGCTTTATGAAGCGTTACATTAGAAAAAATGGTTATTCCTTATTTCAACAGGGAATGTTTTTTTTAGTACTTTAAAATGTGAGTTTTAAGTAATTTAAAAATTTGAAATAACCGATTCCAGATATTTTTTGTACATATATTATAATTTATTAAATTAACAATTTTGATGAAGGTGAGTGTTTTGCGAGTTTAGAAAGATGGCAACACAGTCGTAAATGGTGTTGGACGAGTCTTTAGACGGGGCTGATCGTTTTGCACCAAATTATGTGTCTGTCAGTTGGCTGCCTATTCCGTAAAGCATTTTTGCCATAATCATCTTAGTATTTTTTTTATGTAATAGGTCGGCAAACGAGCATACGTATTACCTGATGGCAAGCAATCAGCGCCGCCCATGGACACTCGCAACGGAGTAGTTACGAGTGCGTTGCCGACCTTTAGGGATTAGGGATTGAGGAGGAATTGGGGGAGGGGAAGGATTGGCCCTCCGGTAACCTCACTCACACGGCGAAACACAACACTGTGGTGGTTTCACGCCGGTTTTCTGTGAGGCCGTGGTATCACTCCGATCGAGCCGACCCATTCGTGCTGAAGCATGGCTCTCCCACACTTCAAGCAGACAGAATTGTATTAATTCGAAGCAGACAATAATGTTATTGTTATTATAGTGGTCATTTTGTTAGTGTCAAATCCTATTATCAAAATATCATCAAGATATCAATCTGTAAATCACTTCAGTAGCGGCACGTATTAATTATTTTTTAATAATGATCGCAGCTGGTGATAAGTTGAAACAACTGTTCTTTGGAATCAATTCATATTCTTTATCAATAGGTAATTTAAGATTGTTGATACATATTTTTGCGTTTTTAATAGGCGATTGACTTAGTGCTATTTGTAATCATTCATTAATATTATACATAGGTTTCCCTTTGTGTAGCTTTATCTTTAATTTGACTAAAACCGATGAGTGAAGTGCCTTAATTCCAGCCTTAGTGCCGGCTTTATATGGTTTTTTACATATAATTTTGAAAGAAAGAAAGAAAGAAAAACATTTATTTTCGCGCAAGCGCACACACACAAAACAAAACAAAAATACAAAAAAAAAGAAGAAAATAAAATATTACTAAAAATTCAAACTAAGTGATACAAATAAAAATTAAAAGACTTAAAAAATTAATAACAAAATAACAAACAAAAAAAAAAAAAAACAAAACCTTTCATCTATGGTCCACAGAGTATAACATTATGCGTGATGTCGCGTGTATTTTTTATAATCTGTGGACCACATGGACAAGAAAGTAGCAATAGCATTTTGTGTCAATCTCACTAACAACAAGAAACATATATTAATATAATTTGCTAATTTCCTCCTTACTAACATAACAGTATAATGTGGTACGAGCGCAAAAAAAGGACATGCTCAGCATTTGCTGAGACCCCACCCACAAGGGATTGGTGCCACAGCGCTGATTTTCAGCATATCCTTGGGTGACGTGATGGCGTTCCACCATAATTTAGAACACTTTGAAGCGAAAAGCAGCGTGAGTACAGGCTATTTAAATTAATATGTGATCGTGAAACAAAAGCGTATATCGTGTTTGATTGTACTGTGTAGGTGTATTTGTAAATGTGTGTCTTGTAACTTGTTTCCAGCATGCAGCCAAAGGTCATTTGCAGAAACACGTGTTCTGTACTAACAGGGGGAAGGATGCAATCGCGGACAATATCTGTTGGACACCTGTATCCCTTGCAGGAAGGCCGCGACCGTGAAGGTTAGAAATATATACTAATTTTTGTAATTTATGTAGATAAATAGAATAATAAATATTGAAGAGAGTTAGGTTAGGTTGAGTTCTGAAGGATTTGTAAATATTTTTTCATGTGCAGTAAAAAAGTGCTTTTTGTTTTCAGGCCTCGCATCGGTGGTGGCAGGTTATTCCAACAGTGAGTCGCGGCATACCTGAAACTCCCCCTGAAGGCCGCAGTTCTGTGTTGAGGGATAGATAGTGGATTTGTTGCAGAGCGTATGTGGTTTTTATATGAATGTTGCCTCCAATTTAACTTCTCATACAGGTACCGTGGTTTTTGAGTAGTTATGACTCCAAACAACAGACCTGCCATGTGTAGTCGTCTTCTAGCCTCCATTTTTAGTATATTGTGTTGATTTGCAAAAGGGGTGACATGGCTTCTCCTTGGTATGTCAACACAGTACCTTATGCAAGCATTTTGTATACGCTGGATTAATGTATTTGTTCTTGCCAGCAAGCACGGGCCATAGACTGTGTCGCAGTAATTTAACTTCGACAGTACCAGGCTATCCACAAGCTGTTTGCGCAGAGCTACACTCAAGTGTTTTCTAAATGTGTAGAGCATTTTAAGTCTGTAAAAACAGTTTCTCATGCAATTTACAATGTGCTTCTCAAAGTGTAGCTCTGGATCCATAGTGAGACCCAAGTTGGTAGCTGTGTTCACCCTTTCAATGTTATCTCCCTTAATTGTTATAACTGGTCCAACTGACAACATGGCACCAACCGCCCTCTTACTACCCAGAACCATGTACTTAGACTTAGCTGGGTTTAGTACCAGGGAGTTATGCTCTGCCCAAGTGGCAACCCTCTGCAGATCGTGATTCATGTTTTGTGCAGCCTGTAGCACGTCCGCAGGCCTACAAGAAATGTAAATTTGTATGTCATCTGCATACATGTGATACTTGCAGTGTTTAAAAGACTTTACGATGTCTGCACTATAGAGAATATAAAGAAGTGGTCCCAAAATTGATCCCTGAGGTACTCCGCGCGAGACAGGAAGTGGGGAGGAGGACAAGACGGATCCATCCTGGTTATGGATTTCAACGTATTGCGACCTATTTTCCAAGTAGCTAGCAAACCACTTCACTGTTTCCGCTGCAAATCCATAATATGCCATTTTGGAAAGCAGTAATGTGGTGTTTATAGCATCAAAAGCCCGAGAAAAATCAAGCAAAGCCAGAATCGTCCCCTCCCCCCTATCACGAGCCTCAAGAATGTTTCCTATAACATCAGCGAGTGCAGTTGCTGTCCCACGCCCCTTTCTAAAACCAGATTGCAAATCTGGCAGTACATTGTTATTTTCCAGGTATTCGATGGTTTGAGTATACACTACCCTCTCCAGGACCTTTGACAAGCAGGGCAGGATACTGATGGGGCGAAGATCCTTGCAGGAGTTTGGACTGCTGACTTTTGGTAGAGGCCGCACCACAGCACACTTCCATGCATCAGGGAATGTATTGGTCTCAATAGATGTGTTTACTATGGAAGTGATAGTCTGAAGCGTGCATGGCAATGTGAGTTTCAGCATATCCAGACTTAGTCCATCAGTGCCAGCTGCATTAGTTCCAAGGTCCTGCAATATCCTAAAAACATCTGCTTCGCTAACACTCCTGAGCACAAACTGAGTCCCACGAGGCATGTGACTGTTAAACTCGAAGAATGTCAGCTGAGATATCGATACACAACATGTCCCCGGAACATCAAGAAAAGCCCTGTTTATGTTGTTTGGGTCATTGAAGTGGTCCGGGAGTGAGCTATCCTTGTGGTCGGGTAAGATGTGGGCTTTTAAATTCCTCCATAGTACTTTTGGATTTTTTATGTGTCTATTAATATCTCTGGAGAAATAAACATCCTTCTCCCGGGCCAAAGCAAATATTGCCTGTTTTTTGAGGTCTGTGTAATATCTCTTGGCAGATTCCACCTGATCTATGTTACTAGACTTATTTTTTAAATTATAATACTTACCTCGTGCCTCATTCCTTAACTTAAACATCAGCTTTATATTGTCAGTGATCCATGGAGTAGGGAGGTCTTTAAATCTTTTTGTTCGCATGGGTGCGTGGAGGTCAAATAGCTGATTAGTAGCATTGGTAAATTGTGTGACTATGTTGTTGACATCATTTGACCTCGTCATTCCCACCCATGGTATGGATTTCAAGTCCGCTGAGAACTGTTCCACTAATATGTCCTGTAGTGGTCTGTAGGATACAGTTCTTGGTTTGACCTTCTCCTTCTTGATCACTGCCTCACAGGTGATGAAAGAGTGACTTCCAAGCTCGCTGATGTAATTTACCATAACATTCCGTACCTTTATGTCTGTACAAATAATATCAATTAGGGTACCACTATCCCCCACGAAATGCGTAGGCGTCTGAACTACCTGGTTCATTTGTGTGTAATTTATAAATTCAAGCAAGGTAGCAGTCTTGTAATCATTAATTAACAGATTTACATTAAAATCCCCTAACAAAATAACATAATCGTAAGGGGCCAGTGCAGTGACGCTGTCAGTTATTCCATCCAAGAACCCAGTCAAGTCAAACCATGGCGGTCTGTAAGCGGTGCCCACCAAGATCTTCCTACCATTTACGTTTATAAGAAGCCACATCTGCTCTACATCCGATTGTTCAGAGTGTTTCATCACTCTTGCCTTAATACCTGTTTTTATGTAAAAACCGACGCCCCCACCTCGTCCTCCCCGCACAGACGTCGACCGCGGTACGTGCTTCAGTCTGTAACCCGGGACGCTAGGCGCACGCCCCTCTTCACCCGGTCTCAGCCATGTCTCATTGATCGCCATGACATCTACTGAGTGTTCAGACATGGCGATCCTAAATTCATCATGCTTTGTTCCAAGTGACCCCGCGTTCAACAAACCGAACTTTAAACACTTAGACTTAGGCATGCTTGTGTATTATATTATTTGTAAATAATGTTGTGTATATATTGTATAGTGTGTTGGTAATAGTTGTGAATAGTGTGTATATAGTAATTGTTGATTTGTATATATTAGGCTTAAGATAGTATGTAGGTGTAAATATAATTTTGTATATACTAATTGTTGATTTGTAAATATTAGGCTTAAGATAGAATTTAAGTGTGAATATAATTTTATGTATAGTAATTGGTGATTTATAAATATTAGGCTTAAAATAGTATCTAAGTGTAAATATAATTTTGTGTTTAGTAATTTTTGAATTGTATATATTATGCTTAAGATAGATACTAAGTGTAAATGTAAGTTGATTGTAAGATAAGTGTGTAGTCTCCAATTCTGTAAGTATGTATGCCAATTCTACAATTATGCAAACAGCTGATCTGTGACTCATGCCCTTTCCCGGAAAATGCACCCTGTTGTGACCAAAATGACGCACCAGCCACTCATTATAGTGCCCACACATAATAAAGCCTACAAAACTAAACTGAATTTGTATATATATATGTCTAAACTGTATATTGTCCAATAATTTCCTGAATGTCACGCTCCGATCCAATTCTGCGGGCCTGTTCTCCAGGCTTATTTCGGACCAGGATTCGTCCCCGCTTCGTCCAGACGAAGCGCCAGCCATGGATACCAGCAGCTGCACGCGTCTTCCGAAACAAGTCTTGGTTTGTCCTGGTCAGCCTTTCGTTGACGTAGAAACGACCCGCAGGACCCGGAAGACCCAAATCTTCCGTCGTTGCTCCTCGCCGCTGTCTAGCGCCGTCAAGAACAGCATCCCTGATGTCCCGACGCGCCAGACGCACCATGACAGCACGAGGGCGGACCTCAACTGGTCCCGTCGGACTCGTCGCCTTGAGGTGTCTCCCTCCCACCCTCTCAGCACAAACTATGTCCCGGTCATCTAGTTGGACACCTAGCTTGGTGGCGATGACCTTGACCACATGTACTGGGTTTTCTGCTTGGGATTCGGGCAAATTTGCTATCATCAAGTCATTTGCCATGAGCTCCTGATCCCTCTCATTAAGCTCCCGCCTCAGCTGCTCCACCACCCCATCAACGACGGTCGCATCAGCCGGCACACCAGCATGTCGCCCCTCCAGGACCTGCAGCCTGGCCTCGATCGTGTCCATTCGCACATTGCAAGCGTCGCCTGAAGATCTCACCTCTTTCCTAAGTTCTAGAACCTCTGTTCGCAGGCTACGTAGTTCTTCCATGATCGCTTGCAGCTGGGAAGCAACATCCATCTGCTGGTCGTGAGGTTTGTTCTCCATGGCGACGCCACTTTCCTGGACACAACCCGCTGGTTCAGACATACCGATGTGCGGTCCTTCCTCTGCAGACTCATCAGAGATCGCAGACCGCAGCACCGGCGTCTCAGCTGAGATCAATGGAGCCGTCACCGACTGCACATCAGCCTGACTATTCCGGACAGGCGTCTCAGATTTGTTGTCCCTACGGACATTTTTCTTGCATTCTGGGCATTGCCAGAACGACGGTAAGGCGCCTCTTCCAGTCAGGGCTACACATACGCGGTGGTAGTGCTCGTTGCATTTCGTGCACCTAGCGGCATCTGCCGGCGAAATGAACTTACCGCATCCCCCACACTTGATCATCGGCATTATTGCTGGGATCAAAGTAAGACGTTACAAGCGAAGAAGTCACAATCTGGTCAGCTGTTTCCATAAAATGATGTAAAAAAAAAGGGTGTTTTTTTTTTTTTTTCGGAGGGTACTCAAGAAATAAGTCTCACTCAAGACAATTTCATTATTGGGTTTATTTAATAAACAACAATAATAATATGGGCCCTGTTTTAGCACTCACTAACTGTATCTTTGTATGTTTGAATCACTTCATTAAACTGTACTCAACACTGTTGTTTTATTTCTATGCGCAAGAATCCGACAGCAGGTCCGACCGGTACGAACGCCGAAACGTCACTCTTCTCATTTTGACATGTAATAGAGCTGTTTTATGGCCTATTTACAAAAATAAATTCTTATTTTCTCTGTTTGTTTAATTTTAATGATGAAATTTTGTGAAAGAATTTATAATTTATAAAATTTCACATGGAACTTGTATAAAAATTGTAAACTTTAATTTTCTCATTTTTTTGCACACGTTTGTTATTCAGCAGTAGTTTTTGACGAGCTTTTAATAACATGTTATGATTGATTCCCTACCATATGATAGATTGGCATCATATCTGTAAGCTATAGTGAAGGAATATTATTATGGAAGTATGAAAATCTGATGGCATCCCTTACTAGTCGTTTAGGTTACTTTTATTAATATGTTGAATTAATATGACTAGTTTTCATCTATTTTTGAAATATGTAACACTACTTTTAAGTGTGGGAGAGCCAAGCTTCGGCACGAATGGGTCGGCTCGACCAGAGTGATACCACGGCTTACCGGCCCAGAATACCGGCGTGAAACAACCCAAAGCGTTGTGTTTCGTCGTGTGAGTGAGGTTACCGGAGGCCCAATCCCTCCCCTTCCCCTATCCCTTCCCAATCCTTATATCCCCAACCCCTATCCCCAAAAGGCCGGCAACGCATTCGTAACTCCTTTGGTGTTGCGGGTGTCCATGGGCGGCGCCGATTGCTTACCATCAGGTAATCTGTCTGCTCGTTTGCCGACTTATACCATAAAAAAAACTGCCAGCGATTTCGCCCACTTTATCCTGATAAAAATAGATTTATCTCAATACTAAATTGCACTCAGATCCATTCTATAGTCTTCACGTTCTCGAAAAATAACAAACGTCCATGTAGCCAAATAACCATACTTATAAACTTTGGCGTTCGATTAATTTGCTGTAATAAGCTTTGTTTCTTTATCGAGATAGTATGTAATATTATATTTAACTTCTGCAAACTATAGTCATATATGTCGTTATGGGTTGATCAACAGAGTAAGCGTTTTATGATTATTTCTGTGTAGAAAATACAAATATATTCAAGCTATAAAAAAAACATTAGAAAGAGAACCACAGGAGTAATATGGGGTACAGGTCATTTATGAATGAATGAATGAATATTCTTTATTGTACACCATAATGATAAAAAAACACAGGAAACAATAAACTCAGAAGATGGTACAATTGGCGGTCTTATCGCTTAAAAGCAATTTCTTCCAGACAACCTTTGGATGGAGTTTAATTGTAGAAGAATTTAATACAGACAGTTTACGACATACATAAAGACAATTAAAAAAATAATAATGATATGAACCCCTTTAAAAAGAGGGGATCGCTGTGAGCCAAAATTATTTAACCTTCTTCTTTTCCACTTAAAAATCCCTTCTTTGTTACAGATAAGCCAGAGCCTCCTAAGAATTGTACGAACAGTGCATCGCCTGTCAAGGTCCCGTATGAAATTTTCGGCGTTGGTGTCGTCATCGCCACAGGTTTGGCGAAGACCACTATGTTCAAGTACATTGTATAACTTTTCCCTGTGGTCTTCGGGTCTATTAGGTTTATTTGCTTCGTCTACTTGTTCTTCGTTCATAAGATTCAGGTTGTTTAAAAGACCACCAGATTTGGATTCGTATGCATTATTTCCAAATGAGTTAGGGGAAAATTCTTCCATACCAAATAATGATGGTGTTTGATAATGTTCAATTAGGCATACAATTTGTTCATATAATCGAAGATATGGATAGACACCTACATTATAATTACATTTAAATATTGATTTATCTTCCGATAAAAGTACAAATGAATGAAAAAGTGTACCTACAAACGCAGGTGTTTTAGTTTGTTTTAAGATTTTAATTTATTGATAGATGCGAAAGTATCAATTATTATTGTTTCTAGATAAATACATAAAATGTTTTATTTAATACTGGCAACCCGAATCTTGTGAGTAAAGATGTAATGAAATAAATTAGATTATTTATTCGTGTATAATATTATGTGTTGCCGCCAAAAAATCTCTGGAATATTTTCTTATTAACTTATTTTTATAATGTAGAGTATTTTAGTTGTAAGCCACCTGGAGTGTTGAATTGCTGAGTCCATTAATATTCGTCTAGATATCTGTTAAGTTCAATAGTTGAATTAATGTAAGCGATGTAATGTATTCTTTAAATTTTAATGTTATACTTTAAAAGGAGTGATTTCTCCAACTACATATCACTTGTTAATAACAAATTATAGATTACTGGTAGACGTAATTTCGTCATAGTATAAGTACTATCTACATATCTTCTGTAGGGTTAATGACCTTCTGCCATGTGGTGTGACGTCATCATGTATGTCAACTTCGTCTTCTAGTGCTAAGGGGCATGATGTTTCAATTGAGTCTGCGGTGTGTTTCGGTGTTTCGGAGTTCTGAAGGCGTAGATATGAGAAAAATGATTAAAATGTTAGCTTTAACTCGCCTCTAACGCAATACATATCACGCAAAGGCATAGAAAAATTTAAGTTCATTATAGCCTTAGAGAGTAAGTCTAATATAAGCTAGATCATTTCACAACTCTGTAGCGGACCAATATTAGAAAGTTGTACGTGTTATAATGGTTCGAAGTAATACGGTGGAGCAATGCGGATCGTGCGCCATGATTCACGAAGCCAAGCAGAACAACTAACATTTTGATATTTATCGACAAATTACCAAAGCAACTATAGATACAAACTTAAATAAGACTAAAATTCATAGTAACGTTACAAATATTATACAATGATGGAATCGAATGTACACGAGACGCAATCCAGTGGGCGGTGAACGATATAAAGGAAGATGTACAGAAAGTAGTATACTGAATGTATTAGAGAATACAAAATTTAGTACATTACATTTAGGGTTGATACATCTAGTTTAGAGATCGTAGTTCGAGCGGTTCAGCTTTCAAATATTGGTGGACGATAGAAGAATCTTTACAATTCGAGATTTAAGATAAATATTTCTAGTACAATACCGTAAGGTTCTCGCGACAGTCGACTAGACAACTCGATGACTTCATTGGTGTAAATAAATGAGTGTTAGAATGGTAGGGACCCGTGTCGCCCTTGGTTCTTTTTTTAAAAGGGTCGATTAGGCGGGTGCCTATGTCGTATTTATCGAGAAAATATTAACCTGTTGTGAAGGACGATACCTATGAGAATAGTTAAATGTAATTTTTACGTAGTATTCTGTGCTTCTGTTGGTTGATTTTCATTAGGCTACGTGATCGTACATGATGGACGGTGTCTCTACTCGCTATGTTAGTTAATGTATAGTATATTCACGTTCTAGTTCCACGTTCAATGTTTCACGGATTACGCTTATTTTAGATCTGCGTATATAAACCTATAGAGTGCCTCTTATTCACTTTTATATATATTGATACATAGGTGATACTGGTAGATGTAGTTCGCGTTATTTCTCGATGCACACTTTATTTGATTTTAAATTTCGTATTCGACACAGACGCGTAGTGCCAAATGAGATTGAGATATTCGAAAAGGGGTTCAAGATTTGAATTTTGCGATACAGATAACGCTTTTGACATAAGAAAATTGTATATTTGAAACATTCGAAACGAATGATAAATAAATGATTTGTTCAAAATTATAGCTTTTCCAAATTGCTGTGGTGTTTTGAGGTTATGATGTGATATGTTTGGAGACTATTTCTTTTTCTTTTAAATCCAAGAGGAGACGTTGATAAATAAATAATCACTCTTTTTAATTTATACCAAACACACACTACCATATTAAAATATATCTTGATGATAATTTATTTCTATTGAATGTATTTAAATAAATAAAAGTTGTGCACAACATAACCTCAAAACATGGGAATATCTTTGGAGACACACAAAATTGCTATGACAATAAAATTTTAACGCAAATGTTATTTTTTAAGATAAAAAAATTGTAATATTCTAATACTTTTCCTCACTGATCTTAGATTTATCCTTCCTTAATATTGTTCATTTAATTTTACAAAACACATTCAAGTAGACTATGCTAGAAATTTATTTAAAAAAAAAGGCAATTTAGATTTTTTCAATTATGTACCTTCAGTGCCATTAATAAAATGTGTTTTTCTTTAATGTTTACAATGTATTTATTTATATTTAATCGTGAACACGTGTATTGTATTTTTTTTAATTAACCTGCTTCCATTTTTAAATGATTTCGAAAAAAGAACATAGACAAAATGACTTATTAATTTTTTATTAAAATATTTTGAAGGTGGAATGATACCTACCTAAATGTGTTTTGTAAAATTGAATAATAAAAAAATAAATGTAAAAATTCCGTTGCTCTTGTTACACCGATACTTCGCTTTTAATTCCGCTTGGCTATAATGTTAAATGTAAAATAAAATAATCAATGTATTGCAAATGGCCTAAAACTGTAGAAGGTATGACTTTGAGGCCTACGATAATTTTCCGTATTGTTATTTTACATTAAAATGTTATCTTTTTTCAATTCTAATAGCGATTCAAGTAAGTTAAATAATATTAGTGCTATGATTGCATTATTGAATGTTTGCAAAGTTTGTGTTTAATTATAAAAATAAATGCTTGTATATATGTTCGTTTTTATTTGTGACCTTTGCCGTATTTATTTATGATGGAGGTTATGATACGATTGTGTTCTTGTAGCATGAGCAAACTGTGGTTAACACTTTTATAAATATCTCTCCATTTTCTATGGAAATGTCATGTGAATATTTAGAAAATTAGAATAAGGGAGAAGATTAGAATTTTGCCGATAATTTATCTGTCTTTTACAATATGAGATATAGTTGATGACGTTATGTTAGTATCACTCCGTTGGTCGACTGGTGGCCAAAGAGAAGTTCCAGGTAGTGTTAATTTCGAAAAAAAAACAGTGTTATATTTATGAAAAAGTATGTGTTTTCAACCTACAAGTAGTCGTAGGACTCTGATCTGTACATTTTTTTAACGATCCCTCATCGATGTTTGAATATGCCAAATCCATTACAGGTTTTTCGCCGTGCGCTGGTTTGATATCACGTCCCATAATATGATATTTGTAAGCATGTGGCTCGTTGACGATACCTGAAATAATGTTGTTAGTTAGGCAAATGCCAAAAAAAAAAAAAAAATTGGTTCAATACGTTTTTAGCCAAATTTCCCTCATGTTTGGCACCTAGGCTTTTAGGATACAGTAAGGGCGTAAGGATAATCAGACGGATCACTTGATGGTAAGCAATCGACAGCACCCATTGGCACCAGAGGAGTTACAAGAGTGTTGCCGGCCTTTTGAGGGTATGCTTTGGAAGATTTGGGCTTCGGAAATACAGATAAAGGGAGGACTAGGCCTATGGTAAACTTACTCACAAAGTGAAACACAACGCTGCGGTTGCTTTACGCTAGTTTTCTGTGAGACCGTATAACTCCGGTTAAGCCCGCCTAATTGTGGTGAAGCAGGATTTTTAAACACTTCTGTCTGTGGTGTTGATTCTCCAAAAGTTTGTATTAATCTTTTAGTTATAACTTTTGTGATACATACTAAATTAATGTTTTCGGCTTACTTACGCAATCAACGCGACGCGGAATGCTGCTCATGAATATGAGCCTCTAGCATGGCTTGAAACTAGTCGAGTTCCTCGTCTATTAATTACGTGAGTAAGCCGAAAACAAAATGTAAAAAATAACGTTCGGGAACTTACCAGTGTTAACATCATTTTTAATAACTAATAAAGCACTAATATCAGCGACAAGAAAAGCGAAAAATACTATGTGACTCATTTTAAATAATGAAATATATTTTATATGTTGTTCGTAAAAATGTATGCTTTCAAATTTATTTTCTTCTAATAAGGTATAAATATAAAGAGTGTTCTATTTATATGAATTTGCATTATTTGTTTAATGCAGGTAATGTTGTTTTTAGATTTAAAAATAAGATAGAAAATAAACAGGTTTCATGTCTTTGTTTTCTTGTTCTTTGTATTTTGTGAAGTGTTTAGTTTCATTGACTTATTAGTAAACAAAGCATGGGTCGAATCAAAGTCAAGATAAAAAAAAAACTTACTTCAGTAAGCCATATACAGGTGCTTTTGAAACTGCAAATAAAAAGGCGCGCTCCAAAGTGTACATTCGAATGGAGAAGAACGAGAAATAAACTCTGTCGTTACGCTTTGAATAAACATATACGTATATAGGTAAGTTTTACAAGCTCACCAATATATTATTTAATATACATTATTGGTCCCATACTTATGTGAGAAAAATTTGTTAATAAAAAGAACAAACTATGGGATCAAATCTTCATAACTAAAGAGGTCTTTTATCGTTTCAAAATGGCGCTCACGTTTGCATTCTGACGTTCTAAATCAATGCATGCATACAATCTAAAACAAAAAATTGATTGTGTAGTTTTTTTTAAACAAATAATGTTTAATTCCAAGTTTGAATCAGACTTAAGCAAACGTGTGGGAGTGTGGGAGAGCCATGCTTCGGCACGAATGTCTCGGTTCGACCAGAGTGATACCACGACCTCACAGAAAACCGGCGTGAAACAACCACAGCGTTGTGTTTCGCCGTGTGAGTGAGGTTACCGGAGGCCCAATCCTTCCCCTCCCACAAACCCTTCTCAATCCCTGAATCTCCAAATCCCTAATCCCTAAAAGGTCGGCAACGCACTCGTAACTCCTCCTTTGCGGGTGTCCATGGGCGGCGCTGATTGCTTATCATCAGGTAATATGTATGCTCATTTGCCGACCTATTACATAAAAAAAAAACGTATTGATGAATGCTCATTCCTCTGCCGTGTGAGAAGCTCAGAATACAGCTTTGCTCAGCAGTGGCAACTGGAATTGAGGATTATGCGAAACAACTTCTGCCATATTTGCGCATTTCTTTGTAAACCGTCATATTTTGTTTAATAAATCCTACTAAATAATGGTTTTTAAGTACTAAAGGCAGCAACTATAATCACAGCTCACTTCATAAATAACACCTGCAAGAAAAAAGCTATTATCCTGCTCCAAATTCTTCTGCTCCAGGGATAACCAAGTGTGTCGTTTTATCAAAATATCACTGCTAGATCTTGATAACAAATTTAAGGTTTTCCCCGATGGTGATAGTTTGTGATAAGGTGTACATAGTAATAAGATAGGTTCAGTACCTATTCGAAAATACTTTACCTGTTTATACAGCACGTTTTATGTTTGCAAGTTAAATGATATGAATTTATTTCGCCACGACACACGTTGACGTGGCATTACTCTGTTATAGAATTGCTCAACAATAAGCATTTTTAAGTGAAAATGCGAATGGGCCGAATTAGTCGGCCACGAGTAAGTCACAGAAAATTTTTTCAATTATTGCAGTGACCCTAATTGTTGTTGCCAAGTCTTTGAATGACGTTCTGACATGCATAATAATATTATTATATCAAATAATTTAGATTATCATTCATTTAGAATTGGGTCTTCTAAAAATGGCGTCTTTAAATTGATTGATAATTATTTTTTATCAAATTTCATTTCATTTTTTGTCCCGATAACAATCTAATTAGGATACGTGCCCACCGCTCTAAAAAGATATAAAAAGTAATAATATTAATGAAATACAATTAATTTACTGAAAAATAAATATTATCTCATAGTTTTAAGGGATAGCATTTTGCGCGCCTCAATGACCCAACAGACTATCACTGATAGGACCCAATAGGGCTTATGCTCAGCCAGGTTTATGATGCGGTCGTTAGTGCGGATCTTGCGTAATGTATGCACACAGCCCAGGCCTGGAATAGGAGTTGGAATTGCTTTTTAGTCAGTAAGAGTCTGATAATGACTCTCGCCCTACCTACGGCGAGATCTTCAATCAACAAATGAGAAATCATTTGATGATTTTTCCTTCACAGAAAAGCCCGGTCTAGAGCAGGCAAAGGAACGGTATAGTTTTTAGTCAATTAGAGTCTGACACTCCATATACATATCCTTCTATCCACGACGAGAGAAATTATTTGATAGTTTTTAAGAAAACTTAACACAAAGAAAAAAAGAAACAAAAAACAAAAAAAGAAGCGGGCGCCTTTATCTCTAGGCCCCTACCAGATTACCCAACTTATTTTTTTTGTGGGAGACAAATTAATATCGCCCGTGGTGACGCTAGAGGGACTCTTGCTGACTAATAACCACTCCATTCCTTCTCCTGCTCCAGACTAAGGTCGCGGTACCTTAGAAATAAGCTTTTTTATAAGATAGATCGGCATACGAGCTGACTGATTACCTGATGATAAGCAGGCGGTACTCCCGAACCGATACGACCTTCAAACCTTGAAGAAACGAACGTACTCCTTTTTAAAAGGCCGGCAACGCACCTGTGACTCCTCTGGTGTTGCAGATGTCCATGAGCGACGCTGATCGCTGACCATCAGGTGATCCTGGTTTGCCTCCTATTCCATAAAAAAAGAAAAAAAGCAATCTGCGCCGCCAATGGACACACGCAACAACAAATGAGTTAGGTACGGGCGTGTTGCCAGCCTTTTAGTGGATAAGGGTTTTTAGATATTTAAGGATTGGGAAAGGATAGGGAGAGAAGGGGTAACCTCACTCACACGATGAAACACAACGACGCTGTGGTTGTTTCACGCCGGTTTCTGTGAGGTCACTCCGGTCGAGCCGACCCATTCGTGTCGAAGCATGACTCTCCCAAATTACAAAATTTGTTCATCCTTTGAGCCGGGTATAGATTACTAAGAAACAATTAAATTAAAAAAAAAACATATAGCGAACGGTTTTACCGTTTCCCGTAGTTTACACCTTCATATATGTATGTCTCGGGTCAAGATCATAATTGTTTTATCGTAATTTTGATAGTATGCGCTCGTACTGATTGTGTACGCATAAAATAAACAATTGAAGATATTATCTTCTGATGAGACGCCTTGATTAGGAACCGATTAATTGCTTCCGAATCATATAAATACGAAATTTCAGGTATCACTGTATGTTATTCAACTTTACAAGTTTATTAAGGTAAGACATACAAATTAAATAGTTTAATATTTTGTTTTTTAAATTAATTATTAAATTTTATTCCAATTCTTTATAATTAAATCATTTAAATGAAAATGTTATAAACTTTTTAAGAAACTAATCAAGAAATATATATACTTAATTTTAATATCGATAGATTACTTACATTGTTTTACATTTATACAATTTGAATTAAAAAATATTAGTAGTAAACTTCAATTTGTGTTTTAAATTATTTTTAACTTCATTTACTGTTATTATATTATATATCATTAATACAATTTTATATATTAAAATATCTTAAATCAATAATCATGAATTATTTTTTTTTATAATTTTTTCACGGAACGTATATTAAATTATTCTATATTGTTTTTTTCTGTAGTTCCCTATTTAGTACTTGTGGACAGTGTTAAAGAAAATACTAAAGAGGCAAATTTTAGTTTCAGAAAATAAAATACAATTTCAAAATGAAATTCCTTATCGCGTTCGCTGTCCTCGCTGTAGGCATCAGTGCCGTGCCATACTCAGCCTACTACCCTGGTAAGTAAAATATAAAATAAAAATAAAATAAATATAAAAATTAGGAATACTTCCACCTCTTTAACATTTGTGGAGTTATATTAATATTATTTTTGTATTTTTTTGCAGCTAATGCAATTACTGTTTACATTCGTTATTCATCATACATTGTCACAAACTTTTACAATACGGTAGTTTCCAACTAGTCAAATTCAATACTTTTATCTAAACGTCAAAAACGATACATTTCTATGAAATTTGTATGAAAAACTGAGCTATGACGTCATAACTATTTTGCGATTTCTTAATAATTAGCTAAAAAAAATCTAAAAATTAGTATATCGATCGATGGATGAATAAAAGTATAGTTATTTTTCAATATTTTATTGTATTGAAACGTCGAAATAATTTATTTTTGACCTAGGAAACTACCTACTACAATTATAATAATATCAGGAGAATTATTTTTATTTACGACATAAGTAAATTTTTATATTTTTTTATAAAATCATCTTATATTTATTACAGTAGATTTTTCTGATGAACGCTTAGTGACTGGCGCTATTGAGAGCGCGATCAAAGATATGAGCCAAGCCATCAAGGACGCTGGACTGGATCCCTTCCACATCAAGAGAGAGAGCATGAGCTACGAGCTCCCTGTGCCTGTGTAAGTATTTTATTTTCTCAAAAACATCATAGTCATTATAACAGCTTTAAGACGTTTCACTTCTGGATGTAGGAACCTCTCAATGGCTAGCAGTGACATCCCTGTGCTATCTACATACATAGAGATATATAAATCAATTCTTATAATTTAATAAATAGTTGTTTGTAACCTAAATTTGTTCATTTATACTTTTATGTACATTATGATAGACATACATGGGTACATAAAGCGGTCTCTTCTCACACGGAGAAGGTTTGAACATTAATCACGACGCTTACTCAATTGGCGATTTCAAACTTATAAATAAATACTACAAAACCAAATTCCCTCAATGATTTGAAAATTAAAATGTTTAAAATTTAGATCAGGAGAATTGAACGCTAGGATGTCGCATTCGCTATGCATATCAACGTCAACTTTTCTCAAAAAACACCCTTGTATACACATTTTATCAAAGGAGTCTATATAACTACTAGAAGAATAATGTCTTAATCTTCAGTCATGAAAAAAAAGTGTGGGAGAGCCATGCTTCGGCACGAATGGGTCGGCTCGACCGGAATGATACCACGGCCTCACAGAAAACCGGCGTGAAATAACCACAGCGTTGTGTTTCACCGTGTGATTGAGGTTACCGGAGGCCCAATCCTTCCCTTGCCCCAATCCCTCCTCAATCCCTAAACCTCCAAATCCCTAATCCCTAAAAGGTCGGTAACGCACTCGTAACTCCTCCATTGCGAGTGTCCATGGGAGGCGCTGATGGCTTACCATCGCAGTCGGTAATCCGTCTGCTCGTTAGTCGACCTATATTACATAAAACAGAGAAATTATACATTTATTCTTTGTTAAAATTAAGAATATTTTTCCAGGCTCTTCAAAATCGACGCCTTCGTTGAGGAAGTCCTGAGCACTGGTCTCAGTAACATCAAGATCAACAGACTGAACTACAGCGTCCTCCTCTCCCGCCTTAATTTCGACATTGAGCTGCCTCTTGTACACTTCTCTCTCGGTAAGTCAGTTTATCAAACGTTTATTTATTTACTTATTTATTTATTATAAGGTAGGCTCACAGCTTATGTATACAAAGTGGTTTAAAGTATTGGTTATAGGCAGTGGGTCATATACATTAGCCATTTACGAGCTAACCAACATTTGCGTTTATACAGTCAAAATATATAAAAATTAAAACTAGAACTAATAAAATTAACACAGGTAGGACAACAGTATTAATCATATTAAAGTATTAACTAAATAAAATTAAAATTAAAATTTGATATGGGCTTATATTTATGAATTTAGAATTATGCTACATGAATATATAATGTAGTTATTATTTTAGACATTTTAGATAGGAGGAGTAAACAAAAATTCGGTACATACGTACAAAACGTTCAGGTACGAATTAGTGTTATCCTACGCAATGCTCATTAGGAGACTTCGAAGTATCTGTAAAAAAAAACAAAGTCATGTTGGTTAGAAGTTAGCATTTCATAGTTTTTTAAGGAATCTCTGTACTACGCCATTTCACAAACGTTGAAGATTGATTTAACTTGTAAAGTTGTCTCCATCATTCATCAATTAATTCTGAAGACTGTGTGATCTGTTTATTGCTGAAACTGCAAAAAACTAAGCGCCTATTACACCGCCCTCATATATTTAATATGGTGGATAGTCTCTACCTGATTGTGAAATGAAACATTACTTTATTCACGTCATCAATGAAACAATGAAAAAATTAATGTATTTCTGTAAATTGGCTAAAACGGCACATTTACAATTTTACACGTTAAATTATATGTAAAAAACTAGATGAAACCGGCATTTCCTATCTGACTACTCTGAGAAGAATTGCTGAAACACACATGTAGCGGCACTATCACGTCGCTACATTACTTAGATACGATAGAGATAAGACATACATGTTAATTGTTGCACGTTTGTTAGGATAGCTAAATCTGAAAATCTCACGCATCTTCTTAGTATATAAGCACCAGCAATTAAAGTAATAAACAGACCTTAACCATCTACAGTCTCATTATTTACCTTGCCACGAAGTCTGGCAAATTGGTGACCCGACGAAGAACAATCAACATGACTCATTCACCCTGCAAATCAAGCAGCAGCCAACAAGAAGCCTTGGAGATATCAGCCGGAACCGCCATTTTGGAGGGACCAACCCAGATTATGGTTTAAGCAACTAGAAGCCATAGTAGCACCACAGAAGCAAGGAGACGATTACAAGTACTATACGGTCATTGCAAAACTGCCAAAAGAAGAAATAATACAGGTTAGTGACCTCATTACTTGCCCACCGCCAATAGAAAAGTACAAGGCTATCAAAGAACGCCTAATCAGTTGCTATGAGGAATCAGACCAACGTCAGCTCCAAAAATTATTGTCTGAAATGGATCTCGGCGACCAGAAACCATCACATCTTCTGCGCAAGATGCGGACCCTGAGTAACGGAAATATCAGCGACGAAACCATCAAACTTCTATGGTTGAGGCTTCTGCCACCATCAGTGACTTCGGTTCTAGCAGTCACAGAAGACATAGATGTGAACAAGATGAGCCAGATCGCGGACAAGATATTAATAAATTCAACACGTACAGAGGTGTCAGCTGTAAACGGAAACAAATCTGGCGACGATACAATGTCATGCATACTAGCACAGTTAGCAGAAATGCAATTGGAACTAAATGCAATTCAGCAAGGTCAAAAAAAAAAAACTATCGACGCAGCACTCAAAGTTATTCCAATCGTCGGCATTTCCTACCACAGTCAAGTTCAAGAGAAAGAAGGCACTTTTGTTTTTACCATGGAAGATTTAAAAAATATGCACAAAAGTGTGTTCAACCTTGTGTTTGGAAACAGGATCTCAACTCAAGGAAACAGGGAAACTAATTGAAGCACGGACAACGGCGGAACTCTGTGCTATTCACCCGTCCAACCGCCTCACTATTACCGACCGAAAAAGTGGTATGAGATTTTTGATTGACACGGGAGCAAATATTTCAGTTATTAGCAAGCCACAGAGACATTCACTAATACAAGATGAACAATGTATACTTTATGCCGCCAATGGTACAAAAATTAAGACATATGGTGAAAAAACACTCTCTTTAAACTTCGGGCTACGAAGAAATTTTGTAGGGAACTTTGTCATCGCCGATGTAACACAACCGATTATTGGAGCAGATTTTTTAGAGCATTATAAGCTATTAGTCGATATAGCTGGTCGAAAACTCATAGATAGGGTAACTGAGCTGACAACGCCCGCAACCCTGATCAAATCGACGCAGCAAACAATCCGCACTATTAACATTGAGACGAATCCACGCATTACTCAACTATTAAATGAATACGAGGATATTACGAAACCATACTCCGCCGAAAAAGCTTTTGATAAATGCAAGGAAAATATAATGAACGCAGTATTAACAGTTCACCCCTCTCGCACCGCCCCTTTGGCACTTATGACGGACGCCAGTTCGACCTGTGTTGGCGCAGTTCTGCAGCAGAAGTCAGGACGTAATTGGGAACCATTAGGATTCTTTTCAAAGAAATTAAGTGATACTCAACAAAAATACTCGACATTCGACAGAGAGTTGCTCGGAATATATATGGCAGTCAAACATTTTCAAAGGTTAGTCGAAGGAAGAGAATTTACTATCTTTACAGATCATCGACCTTTGACTTACGCATTTTCCCAAAAACCGTCATCTAATGATACGCCACGGCGAATACGACAACTGGATTTTATTTCACAATATTGTACCAACATTCAACATATAGAAGGACGTGACAATATTGTAGCAGACGCATTGTCACGGATAGAACAAATTGATGCGCCATCACCGATTAATTATGCTGATTTAGCAAGATGTCAGCATGATGACCAAGAATTATTACGACTTCGTAATAACAAGAATTTAAAATTTTCAAATATCAAGGTTCCGGGTTCTACTGAAGTCATCGCCTGTGACATATCTACAGGAAAAAATCGCCCCTATTTACCAGAAAAATTTCGGAGACAAATTTTTAATGTCATGCATGGACTGAGTCATCCTGGGAAGAGAGCTACGGTGGACGAGAAACATTGCAATTGGACAAATCCTCATCACAATTGGCATCCTTCTTCTCTACGGAATACTGAAGACCTTAGACAGAAGAGTGAAAACAATAGCAAGAAACAATCAGCACAAATGCAGTGGATAGTTCATCGACTGCCGCCGCCGTCACAACAAAGGCAGCAGTTTTTATTTCGTTCGAATTAGCAACAATGACATTACATTACGCATAGGATGTAATTTATCAGCAAGGTTAAGTTATTATATAATTAGGTACATACTAATTTTTTTCAATTTATATGTTAATTATTTTTAAAAGGGGGGAGTATATGTAGCGGCACTATCACGTCGCTACATTACTTAGATACGATAGAGATAAGACATACATGTTAATTGTTGCACGTTTGTTAGGATAGCTAAATCTGAAAATCTCACGCATCTTCTTAGTATATAAGCACCAGCAATTAAAGTAATAAACAGACCTTAACCATCTACAGTCTCATTATTTACCTTGCCACGAAGTCTGGCAAACACACAGAGGTCTGTCTCTTTTCAAGTCTAGACAATGTACAAAAATAATATAACATAATATCATCCAAGATGGTATTTAATGTCTTGTTCTGACGCCATTTGTTTTAATCAAAGTTTGCTATGTATAACATACATAATCAAGGCGTCTAAAAGGTCCTATTTAATAGGGCTTACATTTTCTCTGTTTTGTAAATATGACGATCTTGATTATTAAAGAAAACACCTACAAATACAAGAATAGGAATAAAAAAGAAGAAAATGTATATTCATTACATTTTTTTTCTATCTTCAGGCGATGCCAATGCTGATGCAGTTTTCTTCAGCTCTGACCGTGACTTTTCTGCCTCTGGAAGGTGAGAAATATATTTTTTAAATTTATAAAAAAGAATTTGTTATCTCATATCTACCTTAACAAAAAATATGCTGTCGTTCTTCTATAACTCTTTCTTCTGGTCCCTTATATTAAAGTTTTATAACACTATATCGTGTCTTATATTTATCTACAGCATCAATGTTGAGAGGATCCGAGTCGTTGGTGAGGTCCGCGTCAGCATTGGAGTCATCTCTGGTATCTCAGTCCGCAGCCTCACCATCTCCTTCACTCTTAATGACATCACGGTACGTTTTATTTTAATGGTTTTTAGAAATGGTTTTTATTGCTTTTCGATTTCCGTCAATGATATCATGAGTTTAAAGTTTATTTTCATGTGATTTATTACTATTTTCTTTTTTTTCAGTCCGACGCCAACCTAGTCGTCTTCGGCAAGGACTACTCGGATGACTTCAACAACTTTGTAGGAGGAGTTGTTCCTGACACCATCAAGGCTCATTACGTGAGTTCTTTTTCTATTTTATAATCTTAAATTTGACTGAGAAAAGTGGTCTTCATATTTGAAAAATAAGTCAAAATTGCCTCGGCTACAAATCTTGATAGAGAGCGCCTTATGCAATTAAAATTACACAATATTACACATATTAGTGTTTTAGTTTTGCTTTGGTCTAACCAATTCTTATTCAGTGTTGTATTTAAGGGGGGTCTTCTTAAGTGGGTTCAGGCAAGACCAAAGCAGAGAAGAAGTCAAATCATTTATATTAATAAGACTATGACTTATGAACGTCAAACAAAATACCTAACTAAATAAAAGAAATAAAAGTGTGAGCCTACAGGTCTGTCCAGTACCTAGTGAAGTTATTAGGTCATACTAGAGTTTAAGGTTAATTTCTAAGGAGGAGAACGAGCAAGGAACTCCTACTTAAGAAAAAGACGATAGAATAATCCTCTTTTTCTAAAAATTGTAACAATCAAAACGGACTCTTAAAATCATAAAAATAAAGCTTATTAACGATATTTGTATTTTTCTCATTACAGAAAGAAATCAACCAACTCTTGGAGATAGTGCTTCTGGAAGTCATCAATGATAATTTGTAAAGTGATTTCTGAAACCTTTAGCATAGCTTAACGGACTGCAAGTTATACTCATAGTGTTAATGGAGCAAGATATTACATTATAATCTAGATTACGCGTATATGAATAAATATTTTTTTTTATAAATAATTTTTGTATTTTTATTTTACGTTGTGCTTTTGTTGCCTACTAATTTCACCTGTATTTCAGTTGTTTTGTAAAATATAATTTAAAACATGTAAACTTCCACCAACAACGTCTATCTCTAAAAAATAGGAACTTATTATTTTTTCTAATAGTCATTGAATTTTGCACTTGAACGCTGTATGGCACATACGTCAACAAATTGACGTCATGACACTATTTTTCACTACATACCTACCAATATGATTACTATTTTTTTAGATTATATAAACTAGTGCTTGATTGCGATTCCACCTGATGGTAAGGAGTGATGCAATCGTTGATGTTAATCACTAGTTTATCAAGAGAATATTCACTCTACCTTTGAAAACACCAAAACCACTAAGTGGACGGGAAGACCGTTGCAAGCTATTCCAATACCTATATGTGCGTGGTATAAATGAGGAAGCGAAATGCTTAGACCGAACCTTGCTAGAGGTCTCAACAATGTGTATATGAATGGATACCCGCCGTTCGGTTGTCTGATGGTAGAAAGGTGTTGTTTTTACCACCGCAGTAACCCTAGCAAAAATGTGGAAATTATTCAAATGCCTGCAGTGTGATTCTGTAAGACCTCATTCTAAACTTCGAATCTGAATCCGCTGTGAGTAGTAGTACACTAGCGCTACACTTGGGAGTAGAACTAAATTGACAGCAACATTTTGATAGATAAAGTATGAGATGACGTTAAAAATGGCATTCTAAAATTTAATTTCCCCGTCACTTCGACGCTCACTTCCCACTCGAACACGATTCAAAATCAAACAAATTTTATAGAATCGACGCGCTGGTAATTAATTGAAAAGCCTATCTTCTTCATTTGTATATTGTGAAGTACTGGTACTTCTTTACGGTGGTAAAATCATCAAATGACTTCCTGGCATGAGTGAAGCGTTAGTCTTTGTTCAGTATTTATTTATTTCTAAAAATGTAACCAAGCTTCATTGTTTTTTTTACCTCATTGTTTTTTCATCGAAATCGTTGCATAACAATTATTGCCAATTCAGTCAACTCAATCTTGAACAATGTTAGTGACTTTACTTCTCCTTCGGATCTCTTTACGGAGATTGTCCTTAAAATGTAGGTACTACAAGCGTACCGAATATCCGGGGATGCGGGTCAAGCACAATAAGGGACCGTAGCTTTCAGGTCTGTGACCTGGAGCAGGGGACGATGTGCAGTGGTTTTTAGATAGTAAGAGTCTGACAATCACTCCCGCCCGCTTAGGGTGAGATAGGTCATTAGATGATTTTCCTACATCAAAAGAAAGCATACCAAATATGTATGTCGTGATGTTTCGGAGGTTGAAGTTCACTTCTTTTACAGAAGGCGGCAGCTGAATATGACTTTATCCGACTAATGTGACTTTTTCCGAGAAAATGAATGAATTATTTAAAAAACGGACGAAAATAATTCAGACGCCACTAATAAGCGGTGAAAGAAACCTTAACTTAATTATAAGTTAAGGTTTGCTTACGATGTTTCTTTAATCAAATTAGTAATTAAAAGTGAAACATTTGTAAGTTATTTGAAAGTGAGGACGCCATGGCATCTCTCTAGCCACTTCTCAAAGAGGGGTCTTACCGCCGCTATAACCGCGCCCCCGGCCCTCGGTTGCGACAGTCGTTGCTGCCACTCTGATGCTGCTCATGCATAAGGGTGTGACTTGAAACTAGTAAAGCTTTATTCAGTTATTTGACGTTATTTAAATAAGTTTATTATATAATTCACATACTTATTCAGGTCACAGGTGGTCTTAATACCGTCCGATCAATCATCTATTCATAGAAAAAAACCCAGTAAATCCAACGATAAATTGTAACTAGTAGGTATGTTTAATAAAATTAATTGTGTAATTCTGATTATTATCTAACAGCTATCAGGAAAGATGCAAGATAGGCATTGTTTTTAGTAGATATATTATTTAATAGTTACCAATATTTTATATCTATTTGCGGTACGTCCTATTATCCTGTTTGTTATTTTAATCCATATTGGTAGTAGTAGTAGGACCACCTAAAAGCCCAACAACGCACATGTCGAGATTATGGGTCGATGGTCGTCGATTGCTTACCGTAAAATAAATCCATTCGCTTGATGACCAAAGAACAATAACTTAAGTTTTCTCTTTAATTATGTCTTTGTTTTTTTTTTATGTGAGAGGCCTAAGGCTCTGACGGATTAGTTGATGTTAACAATTGGCGTCACCTATGGACACCTGCATCACCAGAGGAGTTCCAAGTGCGTTGCAGGCATTTTGGGTACAAATGGTTTTGAGGATTTAAGAATCGGGCACGCTGTTAAAGCAGCGGTAAGACCCCTCTTTGAGGAGTGGCTAGAGAGACGTCATGGCGTCCTGACCTTTCGCTCGACGCATGTGCTTATCTGGCACGGCAGCTTCGGTAGGTTCTTGTTTTGGATTCGGCTGGGTAACATCATCATTATGAGGACCACTCAGAGGGCACAGCGGAACATACGGGTCGCCGATAGGATCGGATTTTCAGTAACCTCACTCACACGGCGAAATACAACGCTGTGGTTGTTTAACGGCGTTTTCTGTGAGGCAGTGGTTTCACTCCGGTCGAGTCGATCCATTCATGCTAAAGCATGGCTATCTTACGCCTAATTAATTCTTTTAACCCAACACTAATTATCACCTATAGCACAATACGATGCAAAGTAAAGTTATCTTTTTTTTGTGAGGGGAAAATCATCAAATGACTTCTCCCGCACATGGCCGGGCCGGAAGGAGTGTCAGACTCTTACTGACTTAAAACACCCTGTTCCTTATAATAACTATCTTGATACATACTAAATTAACTCAAAATCGCGGGTTGAGTAGGCTGCGCGTCGTCGCCGCGTCCGCGCACGCTGCTCATGAGGAAGAACCCCTCTGTGGTTCGAAACTAGTAGAGCTTTTCTCAATATTTACACGTGAGTAACCCGCGATTTTTTTCGTTAACCCTGTTCCTTCTCCTGCTCTGGGCCGAGGTCGCGGTGCCTCATTGCGCTTACCCCGCAACCGCTGCTGAAGTACCCTAGTACTTTACTTTCAATAGTAATGATGACAATTATTTTATTTTGTACAATATAGTTTTTTGTTTACTTTATTAAACCCACAAAAATGTGCAACGTGTTATGACGGGGTAACTGTATTATTGATTTTGTATTTTATGAGGATTGATTGAACAAATAAATCGGTTCTAATCAAGACGTCACATCGGAAGATGTTATCTAATTAAATTGTTTATTATAAGTGCATTTATTTTGAATACAACGCAGGAAAAGGTACGGTGAAGTTTTGCCTTGAAAAGAAGTTTTTTCTATTTGGTTTGGAAATATCAGATAACTCGAAGTCAATGAAAAATGAGAAACAATACTACAAATAATGATTACTATTACTGGTAAACGATTCTGGCACTTGTAATTCCTATTACAATTATAAGTGCTATCAGGCTCTTTTAGGGACTTTTCAAGATTCGAGGAACCAGCCATATACAGCCAGTGACTGCACGGTTGGCGCGGTGGCTGGGCAGCTGGCTGCCGCGCAACGTGTCGCGGGTTCGATTCCCGCACGGAACAACTCTTTGTGTGATCCACAGATTGTTGTTCCGGGTCTGGGTGTAATGTGCCTGTGAAATTGTATGTTTGTAAACGCACCCACGACACAGGTGAAAATCCTAATGTTAAAAAAAAAGCCATATGACAATTAAACTCCATTCTAAAGCAACGCACTCGTAACTCTTTCATTATTGTGGGTGTCCATGGGCGGTGCTAATTGCTTTGCATAGGCCTCGCGGTATCCTTACTTCTACAGCGAAACACGAAACACCACTCGTGCAGAAGCATGGCTCTCCCACAATGAGCTTATAATTTCAAATGATATGTAGTCAATGTGTCTTGAGCAAGCGTGGTGATTACTCTACATACACACCTTCTGCGTTTGAGAAAAGGCTCTGCAGTGGGCACCTATAGGCTGATGATAATTACGATGGAGTATTCTGTATATCTTTCAAAATTTTCTGCCATTATGCTCTGTCTGTGGTACTTACTAGAAATCTGACCTATGAAAAATGGTGAAAGATTTCGGTAAATTTTCACCAAAAAATAAATTATTGATAAGTGTGAATCTCATCGAATGTCTAATTTATATGTCTAGTCGATGTGTGTTAATTGTGGTTGCTACCATCATGTACCACCGTTACCCATTAATCAGCTGCTAATTGTTTTATTTCGATATATATATAAAGCAGAATATAGTGCACAACACACACAGAAAATAGAACTACTTTCTACAGTACCTACATAACAAAAAAATATTTAGTGGTCTAACGCTGTGTTTAGTTTGCTAGATTATATTAACATTTTTGTAGTTCTAGTGTATTAAAGGTAAGTATAGACATGGTAACTACAATTTTTTTTTAATTCGATTAATATCTATATAAAAATAAGTCCCAATTTCCCTTGGCCGCAAGCTCGCGTGAACGCCTTGACTGATTCCGATAATTCTCTTTTTAATGTGTTTGTTATTTACGAAAAAAAGGTTCTTGTGAAAGAACATTTAGAAAAGTCGGGTGGAAAATTGGCGACTCGCTAAAAAAAAAATCAGTAACATAGAAGCAGCTGGACACCGCGGGTCTCTAGTCTTAGGTATGTACAATATAATATAAAATGAATAGAAAAATATGTTGGTAAGTTGGTAACTAAAAACCTATCAACAAAAAGTGACAGTTCCTATTTTGTTGTGATCATTATCACTTGGACATTGTTTTTATGACAGAGAAATTTAGATGAGTAGAAAAGAAGATCTGGAAATCGCAACCGGTTGGATACCCGGGCGAAGCAGGGGCGGGCAGCTAGTTTATTATAAAATCCACCACTAACACAAGCTAGCTGAAATTGCGAACTGAAATTTTGACTTCACGGTTAGTGCGGTGGCTGGGCAAGTAGCTGCCGTGCAACATGGCGCGGTCGATTCCCGCAACGGAACAACTCTTTGTGTGATTCACAAATTGTTATTCCGGGTCTGAGTGTCATGTGTATGTGATATTGTATGATTGTAATCGCACCCACGACACAGGAGAAAATCCTAGTGTGGGGCAACATATTTATAAAGAAAAATATTGTACTGTAAAAAGAGACCAGCGTAGTTAAGAATAATACAATAATAGTTGATTAAAATGATATTTTTTGTATATTCACAGAATCTAAAAGAGTATCACAATGAAACCTATAACAGTCATCACCATTTTAGTCATCAGCGTCTCCATGAATGATGCATTTCGTGCGTACAATGAGACAGAAGGTAAGGTCCTTAACTTGCACTTTATGGTATTAAAAAGAAGGAGGTTCTGAGTTTGTCGAAATATGTCTTTGAAGCAATATTTGAGTATCTACATACTTAAATATCTATGTACTTAGATTGATCATTATTTGGCTTTGCTTTTGATTTGTTGGCTATGTTAAAACAGCTGCACTAGCTTACTGAAAAATCATCTGTAATATATATCAATCAACTCTAATATATTTATAGCTATAGTTATATAACATAACATAAGCAGTCTCGCTTAATCTTCACAGCGTAGTATTCGAGATACAATAGGTTGCTTGGGGTTTGATGAATTAAATTAATACTTCTATACTTTATAATATTATAAATGCGAAACTCTGTCTGTCTGTCTGTCCTTTCTTCACGCCAAAAATTTGGTGCAGACATATGTAGTTTGGAACTCGAGAAAGGATATAGGATAGTTTTTATACCAAAAATCTGCAGGAAATCACTATACCACGCGAACGGCATCGCGGGAAAAAGCTAGAAAGTAGTTATATAATCTTACAACGACTACGTAAAATAATGTATGTATGTATGTAATATAATTATGTAAAAAAAACTGATTTCTTCACAGTCGACCTCAACGATGAACGGGCAATGGGTGGTTACATCAAAAACGTGATTGCTGATTTCAGCCAGTCCATAAAAGAAGCTGGGTTCGATCCTCTGTACATCGAGAGACAGGAATATATTTACCAGCTGCCTGTACCAGTGTAAGTTCAGCTTAACTAAGTGGGCGAGAGCCTTGCTTCCACCATTTTTTTTTTAATTACCCCCATATCTCTTTTTCCTTGGTCGTGGCTGCGTTTACAAACATACTATTTCACATACACATCACAACCAGACCCGAAACAACAATTTGTAGATTACACTAATAGTTGTTCCGTGCGGGAATAGAACCCGCGACACGTTGCACACCAGCCAGTTGCCCAGCCACCACGCTGCGTCTGTATTAGAGTGATACCACGGCACGGTGGTGGTTCTTTACCCAAAATATTTATTTTCAGAATATTACTAACTTAGACGAATTAAGCAACAATCGGGGGAAAAAATAAAAACCATTTTGATTGAGATCTTTTTAATTTGTTAAAAAAAAAACGTTGGCCCCTCTAAGGTTTCCTCCAGTGTCCTAGATGCTTGTACAATAATTTAATTTGACAAATAAAACACACCCAGATCCGAAACAATAAGTTATGGATTACAAAAAGAATTGGCTTGGCAGGATATTGATACCAAAGCAGCCAAGCAGTCAAAAAAACGTGTTTTTTTATTTGTCATCCAGGATCTTCAAAAGCGTGTTCTTAATGGAGCAACTGTCGAGTAATGGAGTTAGCAACATCGTGGTAAACTCTGTCAACTACAGCCTGCTAACGTCTCGGCTTAGCTTCGACATCGAACTGCCACTCATTGATATGGGTGTTGGTAAGCTCAAACCTATTTTCAACTCTCAACCTATTCACATATTCCCAATGTTATTGGTGATTTTTTAGGCATCGGCTACCAGTGTTAGATAACTCTAGCATTGTGTTTCGCGGTATAATTGAGGTTACCGGACCTCACAAAGAGCGACACTTGGGGCTCCTCTGCCAAAAAGGGCACTTGGACTAGTGGAGTCCCAAGCCCTGTGAGGTTTCACTTTTATAAGCATCCATGGGCAATCAATTGAAATAAGGTGTCTTACAAATATATCACGATATGAGTTTTTAACATTATGTTTTAGGAAACTAACGTTTCTATGATATTTTATTTCAGGTGCTGGCTCTGTTGAAACTACAGTTTTCGGGAGGAACTTCACAATGAATTCGTCGGGAAAGTAAGATCCCTTAAATAATTATTGCCAAACGAATACAAATGGATAACTACCGTGTTTTGTTTAATATAAGGGACAATCTTACTAATCTGACTAGTTACTAATATTATCAATGCGAAAGTTACGATGTTTGAATGTTTGGATGTTTATTACTCAAACACGCCAAACCTGCTGGACGGATCTGGAAGAAATTTGGCACGTTCATAGGATACGCTCCGGAAAAGGACATAGGCTTTTTATGTTTTTAGCAACATACCACGCGGGCGGAAGCTGGTATTCAATATTTTTTAATCAATACACTATAGTTTTTAATTTTTACTAAGTAGTACACTCTTCATTATTGATAAATTTGAGATAAAAATATTGTTTTGTTATTTATCTCACAGGTGTCATTATGTCACCATTTAATTGATAATCTATGCATAGAAAAAACCCAGAAAATCTGACCATAACAATGATAACAAACAAAATCCAACTGATAGTTTCATTCAGTTAATTAATTATTAGTTTAACGTCTAATTAATTGTATATTCCCGGAATTATTTGTAGTGGTTATGGAAAATATATACTTAATAGTAGTCAGCGTGTCTGTACATCTATTGAATAGTAATATAAATACATTAATAATAATAAATGGAGGTACACAGAAAAGAAATCCTCTACTTTAATTTGCTTATGAGCAGCACTGATACAAATCAAGCGGGTTTTTGGTCATGGTTTGCTTGCTTTGTTTAATTGTTAATAGCACCATCTATGAAATATATGTAGAACTAGCTGGGATCTGTCGTGTTGGAATGAAAATATTTTGATTCAGAGATTGTCTAATAGAGGGCGAAACTTGTAAAATATTTTTTTGAGAAAATGCAACTGCTTTCACGTTTGTTAAGAAATATTTGTACAAATATTGTAACCGTATTGGTAATAAGTTTTGAAACTCAACATTAGGTTTTGTTACGAACTTCAAGCACGACTTTTATGTATTGTAGTGAAGTTTGGCAGTATTTCACGAGCCTGGCATTGTTTTTCTTCTGTATTTATAATAATGTTACAACAGTTAATATTATTTTTCAACTTACAGAGTTGCCGTTCAGCGCATGCGCTTCGTTGGTCAGATTCGCTTCGTAGTGAATATCATTCCTAAGATCAGCATCAGTGCTCGCAGCTCAGACATTGATTTTACCATGGACGGGATAGAAGTGAGTCCTCAATATGTATATACTCAAAGTAGGGAAAACCAAGGATGGTTGTACCATGCAGCTGCAAGCGCAATAATGTGTCACGTTCTCCTCCCCCTTTTAGTCAATAATAGTCTGTCACTCCTATCCTCCCTACTCAGGGTGGTCAGAAGTCAAACAGGAGTTTGTGGTTACTGTCGGATTACCTGATGATCAGCAATCAGGACACCTGCAGGAGTTACGAGTGTGTTGCCTACCTTATTAGGGTTTGGGGAAATGGAAAGATTATACCTCCTGTAACCTCACTCACACGACGAAACACAAAGCTGTGGTTGTTTCACGCCGGTTTTCTTTGAGACCATGTGATCACTCCGGTCGAGCCGACCTTGTCCGGGTCATGGTCTATGGCAGGGCAATTGGCTGGATTTCCTCACGGAACAACTCTTCGTCTAATTTACAAATTGTTGCTCCTGGTCTGGGTGTGATTTGTATGTAAAATTGTTTATTCTTAAAGAATAAAAGACTTAGCTTCGCTTACCGCCCAAACAAAAAACCAATTTTGGTTCAAAATTGGATCGACCTATGTTTTTGTATTCCACACATTGTCAATCGATGTTTGTTTTATTTTTAATTTACGAACGTTAGTTGCCAGTTTGCGCACCAATCGCTACGAATGACTTTTACAATAACTATCTTGAGTTAACACTGGTCTCCTGTACGAAGTGTAGTTAATTTTTTTTAAGTTTTATCAAAGTCTAGTGAGCTGTTTTTGAGAATGTGCTCATAAACATACGTGTTCATTTTAAGCTTCTATACGTCATTAAATTCAGTGTAGAATATCATCGCGTGAGTGAGTTTACCGGAGGCCTAATCACTCCCCTCCCCCATCCGTTCTCTACCCGTATCCTAAATGTCTGTCTTGTAGTCTTACTATGCAAATGTTCATTGGTCAGTATACTAAGTTATATGAATTGTAGGTATATGCTGTGGATATCGGTGTGAGTTTCACATTTATACAATAATATCTTTTTTTATGTTGTTTGCGCAGATATTATGTCTTACTTTTTATTTGTCCCAAATAAATAAATAAAAAATCTCCAAGACCCTCATCCCCAAAAGGCCGGCAAAGCATTCGTAACTCCTCTGGTGGTATGAATCTCCATGGGCGGCGCCGATTGCTTACCATCAGGTACGAGCTTACTGATAAGCTCGTTTGCTGTCCTATCACAAAAAACGTGTTTGAACATGAATTGGATGCAGACGGATTTCAACCTTATTCGAAAACGATTACATGTTCATCTTCAGCGTGGTGCGATGGTAAAGGTTCCTCCTCCTGATACTGCCGCTTACATGGGCCAATGTGTTTTTTTTCCAAATAATATGTAATTTCTAAGTTCAAAAATACTGACCTACACTGAGGGTGGAGGAAAACATCATGGAAGAACAAGGATTTATAATTTCTAATGATAAGTCTAAAAGCAGGAAAATTTACTATTACGATATTTTTTTTCGATATTTCAGTCTGATGTGAAACTCGTAGTACAAAATGAGGACTATTCTGATAAAATGAACGAGTTCCTGAGCATGACTGTACCAGCTACCTTCAAGGAATACAGCGTAAGTATCTAATTATTTATTTAAAATTAAAGTACCTTCTACATAAAATATACTGGACCCCGTGTGTCACATATTTGTACGACAAGCTTTCAACAATTTTTTTGTATCATAATTTTGTAGACACGTACAATTAATTATTTGGTATGTTTAAAGGCTTGCTCAAGTATTTATTTGGGGGCTAAGTCGACTATGTTTAAGACTCAATTTAAGCTATTATATAGGTATAATGAGCAACCAGTATAAACTGACTGTTCAACGTACGGAAAGATCATAAATAACTGTTTTTTTTTGGTCTAAAAAATTGTGAGTTATTTTAAATGGGCGTTTATACTAAAAAAATATAAACTTATTTTCTTACAGTCTGAGATCAACGAACTTCTGGAAATCCTGTCGATAGAGTACATCAATAATTATTTGAAGGCTCAGCAGATGAATTAAACCGTTGACACATCAGAAATATTTTCGTACAGAAATAATTGTCAATACATTGTTATAATATTAAACATTTATGCAAAAAAATATGTTGTTGTTTATTGAGGCCAGTTGACAATGGCGATGGAGTAAAATCAAGCGAAACTACTCCATGCAAGTGTGGGAGAGCCATGCTTCAGCACGAATGGGTCGGCTCGACCGGAGTGATATCACGGCCTCACAGAAAACCGACGTGGAAAAACCACAGCATTGTGTATCGCCGTGTGTGTGAGGTTACCGGAGGCCCAATCCTTTCCCTCCTCCGATCCCTCCCCAATCCCTTAATCTCCATAACCCTAATCCCTAAGAGGTCGGCAACGCACTCGAAGCTCCTCCGTTGCGGGTGTCCATGGGCGGCGCTGATTGCTTACCATCAGGAAATCTGCCTGCTCATTTGCCGATCTATCAAATAAAAAAAAATGCCAATGTACGTATTTCATTAGGTGTTCGACTTTATATAATTTTAAGTTTAGAAGAGCCAAGCTTCGGCATGAATGGGTCGGCTCAACCGGAGTGATACCATGGCCTCACAGAAAACCGGCGTGAAACAACCTCAGCGTTGTGTTTCACCGTGTGAGTGAGGTTACCGGAGGCCCAATCCCTCTCCCTTCCCCCATCCCTTACCAATCCTATAATATTCGAAAACCTTGTCCTTAAAAGGCAACGCACTCGTAACTCCTTTAGTGTTGCGGGTGTCCATGGGCGGCGCCGATTGCTTGCCATCAGGTAACCCGTCCGCTCGTTTGCAGTCCTATATCAGAAAAAATGAAGTAAAAAAAATTACAGGCTGAAATATTTTTACAATCCAAACTATCCAAACTAATGTTATAAATGCGAAAGTAACTCTGTCTGTCTGTTTGTCTTTCCTTCACACCTAAACTACTGAACTACTAAACTGATTTGGTACAGACACAGTTTGGAACTTGAGAAAGGAAATAGGATAGTTTTTATACCAAATATCTGCACGAAGTCACTATTCCACGCGATCGGAGTCGCGGGAAAAAGCGAGTGAACACTATATTTAAATCCTGATTGTATCGTTCAGACGTAACTAGCTACTCCCGTATAGTTTACTCGCGGCTTGGTTTCACTTAAACACAAAAGTTATAAAATATTTTTTCAGGATTTTAAATAGATATTACTCAAAGCTAATTAAATATTTGTGTCAGAACGTAAGATTAATTATATCCAATCAGTTCGGTCGCAATTTCAGTGATTACAAGGGATTAACTACTTATTTACTATCTTTCTGTTATCAAGTATAATCCAATTTCAAATTAATTTAGTCATATTTTGTAGCAGTTCTATTTGGACATTGAAAAGGTAAGACTATTGTTAATAATTTATGATATACTCTTTATGGTTTCTTTTTAAAGTGACCTTGTTTGTTCTAAGAAAAAATCAACTTGCATCGCGTTCCATAAAGGTACCTGACCTTGAATAGATTGTTTGTGAACTGTGCCGCAGTTAAGTGTTCCATAAGCTTTGTATTTGAAAGTATGACGTTCTGTGTATGTAATATTCTTTTTAATTTGTAAAGAATAATTAATAAAGAAAAAATAACTTCATTGATACATAAAACCTTTTTTACATTTTTATTGCAATACTATAAAAAATCTTAGCTACACTCGGAGGTGGATTTGGAATAGGTCAGATTTACAATACAATTGTTTAAAGGTGATAAAAGCATAGTGAAAACCTAGTCTCCTAAAATAGTAGGAAACCCTGTGACCCCTAGGTCATATATTGGCTCCTAAGCCAATGTTCTGCTTATTACTATTAGTGCACAATTATAGTTAGTGTGGTATTAGTAATTACCTATTTCGTTTGTTAATGGATGATGTGAATGGATGTGGGTGTAGTGTCGCTTCTAAACATATCAGTAGATACTTTTAGTTGTGACATACGATTACACAGCTTATCGTGTGCCCATATGGTTGCTTATTCTGGATCATGACACTTTTTTCATTGCCTAATGTCGGATTTGGCTATAATTTTATTTAAGTAAGTCATATTTATATGTCGCAGGCACATTCTACAGGTATAATCTGCCGTACAACATTAAGTCTAGTTGTTATCGAAAACAGGGTTCAACTATTAGCCGGATGGTCATTGCGGAGCGCTCTACAATAAGGCGCCCCACGTTTAGCCACATTGTACTTCTATTTAAAGTGTAGTAGTATTTTCGATCACGGCATGTTCGATGTGGCAGTACTAACCTAACCTTAAGGGTTACAGTTCTACCCGAGCGTAAGGCGGGAAGCATTGCGCGCGCGCCTCAAAGAGCCAATAGACCACCACAGACGAGGCCCTATAGGGCTTATGTTCAGCCGGGGTTGCGGAGTAGGCGCAATGAGGCACCGCGACCTCGGCCTACAGCAGGAGAAGGAATGGGAGGGTTTTTAGTCAGTAAGAATCTGACACTCTCTCCCGCCCAGGGTCGGGCGGGTGTGAGAGTGATGATTTTCCCCTCACAAAAAAAGGGGTCACAGTTCTAGCCTAACTTATCAAAGTAGTAACCTAGTATATCCTATAAAATAAACTTACAGGGCACCACATCAAACTGGCAAAGAGGTGGCTAATCTCTCTCTCTTCATTACACGACATTTACGGATAGTCGAGAAGCGTGTTGAATGAAGTATGGCATACATTGGAACATGGAATATAATACGGCCGCTTCCTATTCAGCCACATGTAACCCAGATAATTGTAAAAACGGCACTGGTTTTGATAAGAGCTAGCGGTAATTTAATAATTATGGTGTATTATACAATTCCAATGCGCTATACCTATATACAAAGATCATGAATTAGTTTTCAAACAATTTTATATTGTAATTTTTCCGACACTGGCTGATGTGGAATCCGTCTCAGTCGGCTAAACACCACTCAAGCGTTATTTCACGCCCATTTTCTGTGAAGCTCCGATATTACTTCAGTCCACTCTAGTGGAGCCGCACTTTACTCAGTTGTGAAGACTTTTTGGACTGTTGAACGCTTTCTGAAGAAAGTTGTTCTTTGGATGTTTTTCGCGTATCTGGTAAATGGCAATAAATTGCAGTGATTGAAACCGTTTTGATGGAATGCTTCTAATAAAAAGTTTGAAAGTGTTCCATGATTTGGAGATTTCATCTTTGTACCAACATCACATTTTATTTCATGCAGGTACTTACATCAAGATGAGAACTGTGACTCTGCTTGCACTATTTCTCTTGGGCGTCAATGCTCTGCCCGAATTCGACACACAACTCGGTAAGTCAAGATCTGAAACTAATTAGTTGTTACTATCCAGGTCCTTATTTAAACTTCCAATGAAAGTCAATAACGTTAAATTGGTCTGGTACGTGAATCACCTGGTCGGAGTTATTGGCCTCTACCTCTGTTAAATATATTGTATATAAGGGCGATGATAATTGTATTTTAGTAAATCTTCTTCACCCAGTGTGTTTAAGGCCCTCTGCCGATTGTAATTTTTTGTCACTCAGTTGGGTGCAATGAAAATGAAGATATAGCAGTGGTAAGAGCAAGGGTAGCTTAGTACCCGACCAAAACCACACCAGAGTGTACGGCGCGTAGCGTTCCGCGTGTGCCTCACAGAGGCCATCGCGGATGGGGCCCAACAGGGCTACAGACAAGAAAAAATGGGGGGCAAAATAATTTTGTATTTACAGCAAATGAACGTCAGGCTCGGCTCGTTACTGGTCAAATCATTGAAGGAATTGAGGAAATTAGCCAGGCTATAAGGGACATGGGTCTGGATCCTATATCTATAGAGAAGGAAACACTGGAATATGAGCTGCCTGTACCTGTGTAAGTAATATATTCTAATCATGAATTTACATACTTCGTACTTCGTCCATGCATTCATTGTGAGCCTACATACGAGGGGCTTAAATTTTATTTCGTTTTTTAGATAGTTTCTTAACAAGTTGCTCCATTTGGTCGAAAGTTTCTTTAAACCTAAAATAACCATTAAAAAACCTTAGCTTGACTATCCCACAATGCCTCTACAGCAGCCTCGCTATCTTCTTAAAATTTCAAGCCCCTTAGGTGCTCCTAAAGTCAAGAAAACAAATAAAAGTCATCTGGAGTCTATATCTGGAGAATAGAGATAATGGCTGTTCGACAATTTCGAAGTCTGCTTCTCGAATGGCAGATATCGCAACTTGGGCTTTGAGTGCAGGAGCGTTGAACTTATGAAACAGGACTACCTCTGTGTTCTCCCCCGTTTTTTTTACTTTATGACTTCTTGCGGTCGTGTTATTTAATGAACATGATAGGAGTCCAGTATAGTAACTCTCTTTTCCAGGAAATCAACCATTATGATTCCCTCAGAATCCAATAACACGGATGCCCCTTGCCCCCCGAGCTCGACACTTTGAACTTATTCGGCATTGTGAAGATGGCCTTTTCCAAGTCATCGATTGTCATTTGCTTTCAGTATCAAAATGAACATGGAAATACCATCTATGTTTACTGTAATCGTCCGTAGCTTCACGTGTTTACATTCTATATATTATATAATAAATGACTTTAAGTATAGAGATATATTTTTAATGCTATTCTTAACAGTGATAGTTATGTGCTGATGATTGGCTCATTCTATGCTTTTGATCGCCTCAAATGGTACTCACTCACAACTTCTCCATGTAATATAAGTATGTAAATCCTTATGTACCCTACCACCTAAGTTCACATTGTGGAATGCAATATTGAGTATTAAGTATGTCAAATAGGGTCTTAGGGTCTTTGCTTAGCAGTTAGCACTTGCAGACAGGCATGTGGTATGTGTGCGTTTCATACTGTACATTTGAGCGTTCTGCTAAACTGACGATTACAATGTGATGGTATAAGATGATTTCGACATTATATTTCTTTATTATTGCAGGATCTTTAACGCGGCAGCCGAGGTGGAAGATTTCAGAAGCTTTGGTATCAGTGACATTGTCGTTGAGAGAATGGACTTAAGTATAATCTTTTCTCGAGTTGATTTCCATATAGTACTGCCTCACATTCACTTCTTTGCTCGTAAGTTTCTACTAATTTAGATGTTCACTTTCAGTATTTACTTGTACTAGGCAACTTAGGGCTGATTTTTCAATAGTCAAATAAATGCTATCTGAGGATTAAAATTGTTGCTGTCACTGTCTAATAAACATTCTGACGCGACAGCATCATAATTATTCGTCAGGTAACTTATATCTAACCATTTAAAAATCAGCCGTTAAAAGGTTTGATTCTGATCTGATGACAATTATTCTGTAAAAACAATTTTAGAACATAATCACGTAGGTACTCAATTTGCCAATATGAATACATCGTTTTTAAATTAGTAGTTCGCGTTAAGGTGAGCCTTATCTTACCAACCTATCTGGTATCACATTTTATTCAATTTAGTTTATAATTTTAACGTGAAAGTGTAACAAAGGTAATAAATCTTGTTTTGCCTTTAAAATAAAATAAATAAAACCTTCTTTACTTTTCAGGTAAAGCAAAAGGTGAAGTCACTTTGTTCGGCGAAAAATTGACTGCAGAGGGAGACGGCAAGTAAGATCGTAATAAATATAATATAATCTATATGTATATAAATAAATCCCAATTTCCTTTGGCCATGGCGTTACGCGTGAAAATTTCTTGACTAATTCCAATAATTATTTTTATGCGGTGTTCGTTAATTTCTATAGCAGGTTTTTGTAAAACAAAATTTCAGGTAAACATTGGGTAAAATTGGGAAAAATAAATAAAAAGGCCCTTCTGTGGTGTAGCAGTTCATTTAGAAAACAAATGACTGACACCACTGCGCAGTGGTATATAACACAAAATTAAAATAATAATTTCGTTATTTTAATTATTCTGTGTTAAAATTTCAAAATAAATTATCTTAAAATAGCCTATATTGTTAGTACATTTGACCATTTAGGTGAAAGTATTCAAACATATTTATGTATAAAATTAATGTTGAAAAAATTATAGAAAGATATTTACGTTACGTTACGCTGCCATAACTAGAAAATTTATTTGAAAAAAATTAAATAAGTAAGCGAAAGAAGATTGCGGGTTAGAAATTTAATAGTATGTCCAAATTTGATGAGAGAATTAACTAAAATTCGCATCTTGATAATTTTAAATAATCAACTTTTACAATGTTCTTTGATTATTCCACGGCAACTATTTGAGTATTTTATATAAATCCCCGCTGTCGATCTTAATTGTTTTATAGGAACATTCAATTGATTGTACCTACGCAATGTGCGTAGGTATAATTAAAATATGCGATTAATTGATATATACTGGAATTGATTACAAGATAAACGGTGCAAGTACATAATATATGTACTACGTAATTATGCCGGATTATATTTTGATAACGGATTGACAAGAGTATTTTGAATGTATTTGAATCTGTGTATATGTGTACTGAAACTCAGAGTAAATTCGCTATGATAGTACAATATGTTTTAGTTAGGACCTCAGTCATTTGATTGGGTAAAGAAAGCCACAAGATTGCCTACAGATTTAATATAGAAAACACCAGCTAGTTGCTAGTGGGATGATAGCCTTATGGGGATTGAGAATTAAACAACAGACTGCACTGTTGACGCGGAGACTGGGCAACAGGCTGACGTGCAACGGACGTTGGTCGCGGGTTCGATTCCCGCACGGAACATTTCTTTGTGTGATCTACACGCACTTGAACTACCTTTTGTATTGCGGATGTCCTAAGGCTATGTCGACTGCTTCAGCAAGTGATCCGTCTGCGCCTAAAAAAATAGTATTAAAATGAGGTCAGAGGATTCCTTCAGCTGGGTAAGCATGTGTTTGGCCCCTAGCACAAGTTAGATGTTTTTTAGCCAGTAAGATTCCGAGTCTTTCTCTCGGTCCAAACAGAGCGGGAGAAGTATTTTCCCCCCATCAAAAAAGAGGGATCCCTGTATCAAAAATAACGCTCATTCACACATTATCAGAATTGATTTTTAAATACTTACAAAAAAGATTGCGGAGTATACTAATCTAAGTATTACAATAATCACTTGTTTGACACATCCAATAGATTAGATAAAGAGAAAATGTATTATTTTAGGCAAGGGCACGAAAACATAGATTTTACGTTGTGTATTTTGTAGAAAACTTGGTTTAGTTCGATATTGGTTATTATTATTATTTAGGTGGGCAAAAAAGCATACGGATTACGCCGCCCATGGACACCGGCAACACCAAATAAGCTACGAGTGCGTTGTCGACCTTTTAGGAATACAGGTTTCAGATATTAAAGGATTGGGAAGGGATGGGGGAAGGCTGCTCCTTCCCCCATCCCTTCCCATTGATTGGGCTTCCGGTTATCTCACTCACACAGCGAAACACAAGGCTGTGGTTTTTTCAGGCCGGTTTTCTGTAAGGCCGACTTATAAACTGTATTTTGTGTCGAAAGTCAGTATTTCTAAACAGGTATGGAGCTTGAGAAAAGAGCGTTCTTCTTAAAAGGCCAGCAATGCACTTGAAAGTCTTCTGGTGTCCATCGTTGACCAAATTGGGTACCTACCATCCGTAATGATCCGTCTGCTCATTTGCCTCATTTGCCAAAAAATATGTTTTGTACTTAATTGGGCATGTATCTGAAAAGACTTCAAAATCATCCTCTTCTTAAAGAGATTGACCATCGTTGTAAGGAATTTTCCCAAGGAGTCATGGTGTTTAAGGCGTATCAGAATCTAAATTATAATTAAATAAATTTCTGAATCGAATCACAGTAAGGAAATGCTCTTAGCCAGGAACCATATCTGTGTTATGTTGTAGGCTGAATGTTCAGTTTAGTTAATTTCAGTATTTTAGGTAGACTAACACCCGGTTTCCGAAAGGCCGATCAATGTTAAAATCAATTTAATCCCTTGTCAAGTCATCTGATTGGTTGACTGAATTATCAACAACCAATCAGATGACTTGACAAGAGACTTAACAGGAGATTAGTTAATTTTAGCGTTGACAAACCTTTCAGAAACCGGGTGTTCAATTTGAGGAACTTCAAAAATTCTTTAATTAACACGTGAACGAGATTTACATACGCCGTGACAAAATTTCATGTTTTTTATAATTGTTATTTGATTGTTGTTATTTTTCTATTTTCCAGTCTCGATATCAGAAATATAGATGTGGTTGGACGTGTGAATTACAGACTTCGACCTATCTCTGGTGTAACCCTAACTAACCTGGATATAGATTTTAAAATTGGACAAATTAGAGTAAGTATAAAATGAATTAAATGTGAAAACTGTCATGTCGCGTGTTCGGTCACACGGAACGACTATTTAAGTGATCCAGAAAATGTTGATCTGGAGTTAGGTGAAGTGTGCAATTGTATGTTCGTAAACGAACCTTCGACATTGGAAAAATCTAAGAGTGGGAAAATATTTTTCATATATATACTAAATCATACTACCTTGTACAATCTTCTGTGGCAAGGGACAGTTCGCTAATTAAATAATAGATTTAGATATTGTTTTCTCACAAATACCTTGTTAGTGTATTTTTTACAATGTTATATGTTAAATAAATTTGAATTAAGAACATAATTTATATTTGTGTTAAAACAGGTACTTATTATTACATTCACTTTCATTTAAATAGACATTAGACATGCTCAATTAAGCATAACTAATGAGAAAATAGAGAACGTGCGAAATTGCAATCACAACGACAAATTATTCCATGGATCGTGCTAGTTTAAATCTATACTAATATTATACAGAGTTAAAATTTAAAAGTTTTTATGTTTGTATGTTTGTATGTAGGTGGTAATCTTTGAAACCGCTCGTCGGATTGCCAAAATTCTTGCACTGGTAGATAGCTACAATGGTCCTGAGTGCTATAGGCCAAATAATTGTGTAACACAATTATTGGATGGATCATTTTTTATTATTTATTTTTTTCTTCACAGAATGGCTTTAAACAGACAGACATGCTTTATAATTAACTTTGTCATTATTTTACAGTCTTTCATTCGGCTAGCCATCCAGGGACAGAATTACTCACCACAAATCACCAATTTTATCAACAACCAAATTCCTGCCACTTTGGATGAATTCAGTGTGAGTATTTAAAGCGTGTTTTTTTTCGTAGGTAGAGAACATTATAGTCATCGAAGGATATTTAACTGCTAATAAATGCTGCCTTTATATAAAAGGAATCTCATTTTCTTCACGCTTGGCCCAACTCCTTTGGATTGGCCACTATATTCACAATTAAAAGATTTGTGAAGACGATCTAGAAGATCGATGATCGAATAAAGACGTCACAGAGACGACGTGGCACGTAAAGTTTACGCGCAGGTTAAAACGAATGGAAAATTCCAACGAAAAAATATTGGCCCACCAGATATGATCACCTCGCCTGTTCAGAGGATCCTCCTTTTCCAATTTTAGGGAACCTTACTCCTTTTCTGGTCCAAATAGGTTTATCAGAATCTGCTGTAGATCTATCTCTGTCTTACGAACTATTTGTAGTCTTATGAGAACCTCCTATTTATTAAGTCTATAATCATCACATGTCCTGATGAAAGTATTATAATCCAAGGACCAGCACAATGGCCACAATCTTGCCAAATACTGTACAATTGCAACGCTTTGCACTTTGCGTGATCCATAAATTGTTTTGCCAGATCTCTAAGTATTGTTTGTCTTACTAAAAACAAACCCAAAAACCTGTCATCAACAGAAAAGCTTTTGTAAAATGTATGTATTTTTTTGCAGGCCGAAATCAACGAACTTCTCGAGATTGTCCTTCTGGACATGATCAATGAAAACCTCTAATCAACCTGGACGAGAACAAATAATTTCAATAAATATATGGACTGTTTTGAAAAGAATACCATGTTGTTTTCTTGTTTTACCCGTTTCGTATCGTGATGTTACATCAGATCTCAATTAATAGACTATCAGTTCAGTTTTATTATAAGAAATATGATGACCTTACCTTTTGAACTTAGATGGTTGACAGTCAACCACTCTGCCATTTACACCTTCGTGATTAACACAAGATGTTGGAATGATCTTTTTGCGTCGGTATTCCCACGTTCCCGATCCGTCAGGACATTCAAACCAACAAGAAATTAGCGTACTCTCTCTTAAAAAGCCGGCAACAAGAGTAGATTCCTCTGGTGCGCAGATGTCTGTGGCTGGCATAGATCACTTAATTACTATCATGTTATAATTAGATTCGTTTGCCTTCTATTTCTTAAAAAAGTGTTCTTCCAATTTCTTTGCTTCCATATTAGTGTATTAGTTTATGCTTCCATGCTTATTTGGAATTTGTACTGATGTCTCTTTCTCGTACACTCATTTACATATCTGTATCTGTCTCTTTTTTACTCGATAGTGGCGTTCATAGAATACTGACGCCTATATATCTATGTAATTTAATTTGCTTTATGTTTTAGGAACTAAGGCTTTTTGGTTTAATTAAACCAAATAAAATAAAATAATAAAGAAAGAAGAAATTTCATAGATTATTCATATATTAAATAGAAAATTAATTATATTTAGTATGTATGGATAATTCGCACAGTTTTTTTTTGGTATGCAAGTAAGAAAGTGAAGAGATAGTATACACCTACATACAAGCTATACACCTAATTATACGATTTTCATGGAAGCTATACAACAAAATCGGCCGGTTTATAAGCCGAAACAATTGTAAGCGTCATTTTTTTTATCCGATCAATGCAGGACTACACAAAATGCGCTTCAACTGTTAAAATCTTTAGAGAATCGGCTACGAAACCTTAAGTAAGAAGTTTAGTAGAGGAAGAAGTTAGTTAGTCCTAGCGTTAGAACCGTTTACATGAAGGTTCATGTAAAGGTAAGACTAACTAACTTCCTAACGGCGGCGAGCTATACTTACTCGCCATCCGCAGATCCGCGCTTACGGTCGATACCCGACGCCTGCCCGGAGTGTCGCCTTCTCTGTGTCGGCTGTGGCAAGAGGAGGAGAATAGCTACCTCACGCGAAGAGAGCGGCTGGAAGTGAATGTCATTGGGGAGGCCTATGTTCAGCTGATGGTATCTACATATATATCCAAAGAGTTTATCTAGAAGCACTCTTAAAGACTGTGAGTGCACATATGTGAGCGCCATGTTCGAGACGACAAAGTATTAAAATTTAATGATAGATCCCATCATTTGTTCTTTTTTTCAACTACTTGTCCCTGCATTGTTCTCACATTAGGATACAATAATATATACAAAATGTTATATTAGTGAAATTGAAAAACAAATATTTTTTTTAAAAGAGTAACGATTATGTTTCTTTATCGTTCTTCTCCATTCGAATCTACAGTTTGGAATGAGCATCTAGCTTCACTGACGAACAGACTGACATACAACTTCTCTATTGTGACGTTTCAAAATTACCTATATATTCTAGGTTTAGTTGGAATAAATGATTTTGATTTTGACTTTGACTAATAGCTCATTATGATGATTGTGAATAAAATAATAAACATAATAGATTACTGACACATTTTTTAAGAAGGACTTGGAACGTCGTACAATACCACGCTTTAGCTTGGCTGAACTGACGACTAAACCTGTTCCGTATCTGCCTTGGATCCGAGGAAATATTTTTCTTTCGTGTGTTTACACTAAACACTTCAGTTTTGTTATATAAAAAAACATTACCGTGTTATCTTCTCCAATTTTTCCGCTTCCATGTCGTTGATAAATGGGATTAATCCAATCCTAAGTGTGTTAGAACATTGTATATAATGTATCATCATTCTTCAGTCTTCTTCGATGGGTATAAATCCATCTCATAAAAAATGTTCGCGACGGACGCATCCGCACGCCGTGAGTGCTAAATCAAATGTGAGTGTGTGCATATATGTAATAGGTATTTGAAACTGAATGACAATAATATATTTATAGTTCGATAAATTCGTAATGACGGTACTGGTGAAAAAAGTACTTACTGAGAATTTGCTCTGTCATACTGCATTTTCTATAGTATTTTTAATTTCGTTAATTTTAGTAGTTTTCTTTATTAATGTTATTAAAGTTCAAAAACAGGTTTCGTAATAGATTTTAATTGCAATGATATTATAAGTAAAATGGTGTACTTAGATTACATAAACAACATTCGATTTTCAAAAACGGCACACTGATGCACACATGAACAATTCGTATGATTAGAGGTCAAAGTGAGATGGCATGATTCAATAATCGCGAGTGTAAAAGAGACAAATATGAAAAAGTGTGGCTAGTTAGCCACATTTTAATGTAAGCCTAAATTTATATTACTTAGGTAAATGTTTTTAATCCTAGAAATAATAAGTTTACCACATGGCCATCAGTGTAAGAGAGAGTAATAACTTGGTTTGACCTGATTAAGGTAACAAAAACCTCTTAACGGCATAAATCCATTATCTAGTGTTTGCGATCCCATTGTCCATCTGTGTGAGATTACTTTACTATTGATAAGATTAATCCAAGGATTTCTTATAACACTAAATGGTGTACAAAATTCACACAATTATAATTTCAAGCTCGAATGTTTTTGTGAAAATGAAAATTAGATATTTTTATTTTATTTTTAAGGTTGCGGGTGTACGCACAATAATGCGGCCCAGGCTCTATGGCTCCACGCAGGGCAGTCGAAATAGTTTGATGATTTTCTTACAAAAAATATATATTTACTGAAGGCTACTATTAAATAATATTATTCAACGTAAAGATACTATGTTTATAAATTTTGTTTGAGATAAACATCTGGGTTATCTTTAGAATATAGATAATTTTGTTACTCATTCTTATCGTTTCTGAAACTATTGTCTTTTTTCCTTTCAAATGATCCCGCCATTTAGTCAACCTTGTCATCGCCATGTTGTGATAATAATATCTTGTTCATTAGAATAATTATAGAAAGGTACATTTTTATAGAGTATTGTGATGATTTATGGGATATTGAGGGTTTGACTCCGACACATTTACAGCTCAGAAATTGCAATCAGCGTTAAAATTGATTTGAAGGTTGGAACTGCGAAGTTGTCATTATTGAGATTCCGGGAATTTCACCCCCATAGTGAAATAGAAAAACATGCGATAAATCAGGCCAGTTTTCTGATAGGCCATGCTGGCCAAATTGCCTCTTTCGTGCCGAATACACGACTCTCTTGTAAGAACTTTTGAAGAAGAAAACCTAGGACACACGTTAGATAACCAAAACTGGTTACAACAACTGAACGAAAACAAGTGCCTACTTAATTAAAACAATAAACTTTTCTTTAGTTTATTGACTAAATACTTGTAAGTAGTTGGTGTAAACATTATAAGAGATTATCGGCATTTTTAATTATTTATCCTTATCGTTTAAGCAAATAGTTGATTAAGTATTTATCTGTGAACACGATTTTGTCATCAGCAGTGTTGTGAACAATTCGTGAAAGAAAGGTATGTGCAATCTGATATAATTGGTATTTGTTAATTAATTTTACCTTATATTCTATCTATATTAACTTTTAAGTATAGGTACTGTCTAATTACACTGTAGAATAAATGTAACGCAGTTCCACCAGTGACATAGGTTGAAATAACTCTACGGAAACATCAAATTGGCAAGACACATGGCTTTTGTGGTTAAAAGAAGGGTAGGTAGGAGTAGTGGAAGTAAAGTAGTCGCGTCCGAACTTAGACAAGCCAAGCCCATGGTGCGAGTGCGTGAGTGGAACAGGGAAGCCGTCTTCTCAGGGAAGCAATGGTGATCACGCCCAAGCCGCATATATATTTCTAGACAGTTATATATCTGCTCCAGAATTAAGGGTCGCATTTTGTAGAGTCCGAATGTGATTTGTGTTTGTGAACGTATACAGAACGCAGAAGGAAATTCGATGGAAGACATTTTTTTCGAAGGAAAACTAGCTTTTAATTCTTACTTATATTATAATTGCGAAAGTTACGGTGTTTGGGTGTTTAAATGTTTGTTACTCAATCACACCAAAACGGCTGGATGGATCTGGAAGAAATTTGGTACGATAGGATACACTCCGGAATAGGACGTAAACTACTTTTTATCAACATACCACGCGGGTGAAGCCGTGAGCGGAAGCTAGTTGTCATTTATATTTTAATTAAATTGTATTAGTTCATTCAACAAATAACAATGTTTCTGGACATGTTTACAATATCTTGTGTTTTGAGTTTAAGGGGAAAATTTAAAATTTCAGGTCCAAAGATGCAGTCCGGTCTAATATTATTCTCAGTCCTCAGTCTAGGCTTAATAGCAGCCACCCCGGTAGATGTAACAAAATTCAATCAAATCCAACTCAATGAAGGTGAGATTTACAACTTAATTTTACTTGTAGAGTTTGCACAGATGTTTAGTTTACTCGTACAATTTGCACAGATATTTAGTTTACTCGAAGGGATGGCACAAATATTTGGTTTAGGGGTGATTTTTCAGTGATTAGATAAAAGTTACTATGAATAATTATGATACTGTCGCGTCAGAATGTTTGTATAAGACAGTGACAGCAACAACTTTTTTCCTGAGATAACATTTATCCGACTATGAAAAATCAGCCCTTACTCGTAGAATTTGCACAGTTTTTGGTTTATAAGTATAAAAATTTTATTTAGTACAAAAATAGTGTCCATTATATAGTTATTGAGTTACAAAACCAAAGACTTCATTATAAACCATTTAATTTAGTGTAGTAATGGCTACTCTCTCTGTACAGAGTCGATTTTTATTTTCTCCCAAGTGAGTGGATTAAACATGAAAGTAATTAAGGATAAGTGGTAGTACTAGTCAATAACAATTAGGTATAAACATTAATTTATATCAATCTGTGTTTTTTGTCATCATCATCATCAACGAATAGACTGTAGAAGTATATAAATGAAGAGTAAGTCACATAATCCGCTGGGATTGTGAATACATGGAAATAATGTGCCGTGGCCCGGGTCGGAGTAGGAGAATGGAATGGGGTGGTTTAGTCAGTAAGAGTCTGACACTTCCTCCCGGCCCATCCTGGGCCTCTTGCCTCACTTAGGGCGGCAAAGTCATTTTATGATTTCCCCTCACAAAAAAATGTCTCGCGTTCCCTCTTGACCCAAAGAAGGTGGGAGAAGTCATTTGATTGTTTTTCCCCCAACAAAAAGTAGCTAAAATGTCTCTAGCAATGTATGGGACTCCATCGCCGTAGAGGATCAAAAGTGCTATGTTATATTGTCATATAACTAATTACAGATGCGGCTTTCCGAAACTCAATCCTAGAGAATGCTATCCTGCAAGCATTGGAAGGCTTGAGGAAAGATATGGTGCAAGGTACTAATGACATACCAGTACTCGATCCTTTGGAAGTGGAGCATTTGCAATTGAACGAAGAATTGCTCACCTTACCTGGGTAAGTTTACCACGCACTCTAGCATACATTAGTCCAAAGGTTATTTTTAAAAGATTGGTGCAGTAAACCAGCAGATCAAAACATAGCAAACCAAAGGCCAAGCCATTGTTTTTTTAATGTAAATGAAACTAATATAGTCACAAAATATTGATTTATGATTGCCAATTAAATTGAATAGGTCTTGGCTTCGATGCCACCTCAAAACTTTTTACGTTGGAAGAATTGCTTGAGGGACTTAGCTCTTTTTATGTGGACAGTTTTTGATCAATATGATTTATTATGTTTCAGATCCCACGTGACCCTGAAAGACCTCGTGGTTACCAAGTTGAGCACCTTCGTGGTAGACACACTGTCCGTCACCTCAGAAACTTTACTGCCTCTACGTTATCGAATCACCTTCGATATACGGATCCCTGTATTGGTTGCCGAGGCTGGTTAGTATGTTTTTGAGACTTAAGTTTGCGGTACACGGTAACGTTATGGCTCTCAGATTGGTTGGTGCAGCAGGCCAATCAAAACGCGAGATATTATAAATGCGTCGATCGCTTAAACGTAAAGTAAAACCGGGCGCTGTGTTGTGTGGGTTAGGTTCCCGCTAGGAACCCGCCAGGAATTGTTGTTCCAAGTTTTAAAAAAGGGTAAGGGTGATGTAGAATAGCTTAATTTCATAAACATATTCACATTGTACACGGTACCTAACGTAATTACTAAACATTTCCTAGCACTTAAACTTTTATTCAGAGCAGAGGGCCTACCATGACGTGTTAAAGCGTGAATCTTCCGAGCGAGAAAAGGGATGAAGCTATAGAAGGTTTATAACTCCATCCCTCTTTCTCACCCGGAAGATTGTAATACCTGTCAAAATGTGCTGTTCTTAAGAAACATGAGTTTTTGGTGTTGTTGGAAATTTTTAAATTATGTAAAGGAAGGAACCAACCGTGTCAATTGCTTTCTTTTGACTGATTTTGAATCTTAATACATGTATTTACAGTTGAATTTATTCATTGTTTACAGATAACTACGACCTTAAGATTATAGCACAAGGTCTCAACATATTCGGAAACGGTGATGCTAAGTGAGTATTATTTATTAAAAGAAATTCAAAGCGTGGTAGAGACATGCTTTAGTACAAACGGAGTGATACCACGGCTCACAGAAAAGCGGAGCCAAACAAACATATATAACATTCGCCATGTGAGTGAGGTTATCGGAAACCACATCCGATAACCTCCTTCGATCTTTCTTCCTCCATCCTTCCTTAATCCCTTAATCCTCAAAACAAACTATTTTCTTAAGGCCAGCAACGCACTTGCAACTTTTCTGGTGTTATCAGAGTCTAGCGGTGGCACTGATTGCTCACCATCAGGTAATCCTTGATTGGAAAAATAGAAGTAAATAAACTCTTAACTCTGCTACGAAACTCACAGGCTACAAGGCTCAGTGACTTGTAGTGCCACTACTGATTAAAGAGTATCCAGATCAATTTAATGGATCGGTAAACCATTGAGACATTGTAGTGAATGGAACTCTTGAAAAGAACGTGTTAAAATAAGCAAATTGCTCATTAAATTTCTGCTTTATGCAATAAGTATCTTTCAATTTCTGATAGTTTTTTTGTCAGTCCCGGACACCCGCAACACCAAAGGAGTTGCGAGTGCATTGCTGCTATGTGTAAAACTATTATCTTGTTTCAGGGTAACTCTGATTGAGCCAAAAGTGCACGGCCATCTTATATTGAGCCCAAGACTCACGATCGGATCTGGCTTGTACTACAGTATCACCACCAGTAATGTTAATTTCTCGCTAAAAGGATTTGATGTAAGCATGTTTTTGATATGTGCATGTAATTATTATGTTTAAACAGCTTTGAGAGAGCTCGACTAGTTCCAAGCTACCTTGAGGGCTCACATACACTGAATTGTTCGGCACACGAAACGGCGAACGCCGTGTACACAACCGACTTTAATAACTTTCACAAATTTAAAAAACAATGTTAAGGGTTGGTTTTTCAATAGTCAGATAAATGTTATTTGAGAAATAAAATTGTTGCTGTCACTGTCTCATACAAACATTCTGACGCGACACCATCATAATTATTCCCCAGATAACTTTTATCTAACCATTAAAAAATCAGCCCTTATGTAACTTAAACAGTTAATACCTTTTTTGTCAGGGGTAAATCATCAAATGACTTCTTCCGCCCAGGGTTAGGCGAGAGAGAGTGTCAGACTCTTACTGACTAAAAACCCCCCCGTTCCTTCTCCTGCTCCTGCTAAACTAATATATTTGTGCAAAACAATGAGGTGTAAATACGTGTCAATGTCTTTGGTTTTATTTAAAATTGCACTTCAGACGATTAAGATATTTGAAAAATTATTTTGTTTTGACCGTGTGTCTTGGAAAACATACAGATAGTCGTAAAATGTTGGTCTTGCGTCTGACCTCAAATCGTAAATTAATATTTTAATTTCTCTTGTTTCTTAACATTATAAGGTCACCAAGAAAGAGACTAACAACAGTCTAATTTGGTCATTATTGATTCCAGTCCAACATCAACGGGTTGATGAATGATCCTGGAATGTCAGAATTTATCAACACATTCTTAAAACACTTCGTGCCAGACGCAGTGGTCGTGTATCACGTAAGATTTAGTATATTTTATGAAATAGCAGAATAATATGCAAACATGCGGAGCATCTCCACATGGTAAGCAATCGGCGCTGCCCATGTATGCCCGCAACGGAGTTACTAGTGCGTTTTGAGGATTAGGGTTTCCCATATTTAAGGATTGGGGAGGGATGAGGGGGAAGTTTTGGGCCTTCTGTAACCTCACTCACACGTCGTTGTCTCACGCGAGTTTTTTGTAAGGCCGTGGTATCACTCCGGTCAATGGTATCATTGGTCGGCCGTGGTCCAAATGCCACGTAATTAAATATTATTAAAGATATGATTCGTAATGGTTTCCGAATCAGTATTTCTTAGAATCGCCCCTTTAATGATATTTAATCATTGTTAAATTATAAATAATATGTCACTTAAATAACAATGAAACAAATCTACTTGGATGATTAAAACTGTTCCTTATTGCTAACTAATCGTTTGATATCACGTTTGATAGAATTGATTAATTATAATTATCTACTCGTGGAGCCCTTATAATATAGACTAAGGTTTTGTAGAGCCTTAGAGCGCGGTGCATACTGTGAGTATGCCTGGGTACAAAAATGTGTGAGTTTGCTAAAATATAAACTGACCTTACATTTGCTCTTTGGAAACGCAAACCATTACCCACAACTTTTTTAATTAATCAACTTTTTTTTCAGGATGATATTACCAAAATATTAAGCGAAACTGTTATGGAAGTAGGAAATGAACTGCTGAAGGACCTGAACCTAGGTTCAATCCTTGGATGAATGAAATTTCAATTCGATCTACAACGCACATCAAGTTAATCTGAGTAATTAATGGATTTTCAACTATAAAGTTAAAGAAATAAAGTTGTTAATACATTATTGAGGTGACTTTATGTGGTAGCAATATTACATGTTTTATAACAATATTATTAATCAAACAATCTTTTATAACAATAAACAAGTGAACACACGAAAGTTTTAATTTTATTATGATTTTATGACTATGTTTGAACAAGCGCCCTCTAGTGAAATTTATTTACAACTGTGACTGAGTCGGCTTTATCCCTTAGAAAATTGTGTTCATTATTGACAATAGATGTCAGGATCTATAAAAAAAATATCAACGAATCGACTGAAAAAACTACATGCATGCGACCACATGCATCACCCTCACAAATCACACCAAAAATTGTTTGAAATAAAAATTGCCGCTTTTAATTTAATTTTGGCCTTTAATAAATAAAATAATTATAAGATGTATGTACTTTCTAATACAAATATCATTTTTTATTGTATAGATATTTTTATTTGGAAGATTAGAGATTAAAATGACGACACAATTCCCATTCCGTACAAAATATTACCAAAACAACTGTCGAATGTGACAAATCACATTTGATATTGAAAAATATTTGATTTTGAAAAATCGTCTTTTCAAAATATCACTGCACAATTATAATTTAAAAAACATTGTCCGTCTGTTATTCGACATACAAAGAACGTTTTCCAAAGCTTTGCCACTATAAAAACGGTGTTAAACCATCATAAAACGAAACACAATATTAGGATTTTGATACATTACATCGTAAAATGTAAAATTAACGGGTGTCTGGCTTCATGGCTATAGTAAAATTTTCATTATGACGCAGTTATGGGGCGGGATTCAAGGCCATCTGATATCTTTTGTTGAATTAGGTTCATCATCATCATCATCATATCAGCCACAGGACATCCACTGCTGAACATAGGCCTCCCCCATTGACTTCCAGATAGGCCGGTTGGAAGCGACCTGCATCCAGCGGCTTCCTGCGACCTTAATCAGGTCGTCTGTCCACCTTGCGGGTGGACGTCCCACGCTGCGCTTGCCGGTACGTGGCCTCCACTCGAGAACCTTTCTGCCCCAGCGGCCGTCGGTTCTACGCGCTATGTGCCCTGCCCATTGCCACTTCAACTTACTAATCCGCTGGGCTATGTCGGAAACCTTTGTTCGTTTGCGGACATCCTCGTTTTTTATACGGTCTCGCAAAGAAACTCCGAGCATAGCCCTCTCCATAGCGCGCTGAGCGACCTTGAGCTTCTTTATAAGGCCCACAGTAAGAGACCACGTTTCAGTTCCATAGGTCATCGCTGGTAACACACATTGATTAAAGACTTTCGTCTTAAGGCACTGAGGTAAGTTGGACGAGAAGATGTTGCGTAGTTTCCCGAACGCTGCCCATCCAAGTTGGATTCGACGATTGACCTCCTTCTCGAAATTGGACCTACCTAGCTGGATCACTTGTCCCAGGTATACATATTCGTCAACAATTTCGAGGTTAGAACTCCCAACTGATATCGGATAGGGCGTGACATGGGCGTTTGCCATGACTTTCGTCTTGTCCATGTTCATTCGGAGCCCTACCTGTTGAGAAACTCTACAGAGGTCATCGAGCATTGTGCTCAGATCCTCCAGCGATTCTGCCATGACTACAATGTCGTCGGCAAACCGGAGGTGAGTGATGTACTCGCCGTTGATGTTGATGCCAGATCCTTTCCATTCCAAGAGCTTGAAAGCGTCTTCCAATGCAGCGGTAAACAGTTTCGGAGATATGACGTCTCCTTGCCTTACACCTCGCTGCAGAGGAATATTCTTAGTGCTCTGGTTTTGTACTTGGACCGACATAGTGGCGTTTGTGTATAAGCACTTCAAAACCTCGATGTACCGAAAGTCAATATGGCACCGCTGGAGAGATCTTAACACAGCCCAAGTCTCGATCGAATCAAAAGCCTTCTCATAGTCCACAAACGCCAAGCATAGTGGCAAGTTATACTCCTCGGTCTTCTGTATAACTTGCCGCAGCGTATGGATGTGGTCTATGGTACTATAGCCTTTCCGGAAACCGGCTTGTTCGGGAGGCTGGAAGTCATCGAACCTACGTGTGAGACGATTTGTGATGACCCTCGAGAATAACTTGTAGACATGGCTCAGAAGTGAGATGGGTCTATAATTTTTCAGTAGAGTGTTATCTCCCTTCTTGAAGAATAGTACCACCACACTTCTGCTCCATGCCGCCGGCGTTGCTCCTTCGAATATGACGGAGTTGAAGAGCTTCTGAAGGACTCTCAGTACCGGTGTTCCGCCCGCTTTCAGAAGCTCTGATGTGATTCCGTCCTCGCCCGGCGCCTTGTTGTTCTTGAGCTGCTTGAGGGCCATCCTAATCTCGTATAGGCTGATGTCCGGGATATCCTCGGTATAGTGTCGGGTGAGTTTAGCTCTTGGATCGGCGACTGAGCTAACAGGTGACCGATGTGTATAGCTGCCCATAAAACCTCTCGATCTCACCCAAAACTTCGGCCTTCGTCGACGCCACACTGCCATCCTCCGCCTTCAGCTTCGTCAGCTGTGTTTGCCCAATAGACATGTCCCTAGCGAACACTTTGGAGCCTTGGTTCCGCTCTATCGCTTCTTTAACCCTATTGGCGTTAAAGTTGCGGATATCGTGTCGCATGGACTTCCATATTTGTCTATTGAGCTGCCGATGTGCTTTAGCATCGGCAGAGGTCTGGAGTACCATAGCACGTCGTTCTGCCATGAGTTTGAGGGTGCGATCGGTAAGCTTCTGCGGTCTGTCTTTTCGGCGGGGTCTAAAAAACTTCGACCCGACCGCATGGACAGTTTCTACAAACCTGTTGCTAATCTCGTCCACTGACTCGCAATTCTCCAGGGACTCAAAACGATTCGATAGCTCGATCTGAAAGCTCTCGGGACAACCGATATGTGCATTTGAAGGTCGGAGCGTAGACTTCATCAGACGTGATCTTTCCAGCTTTATATTGATATTCAATGTGCCTCTGACCAGTCGGTGATCGCTGCCGGTTTTTACTTTATGGATCACAGAGACATCATTGAACATCTGTCGCTTTGTTGTCATGATGAAGTCGATCTCATTTTTTGTGGAACCGTCCGGGCTCATCCAGGTCCATTTCCTGTGAGACGGCTTCTGGAAAAAGGAGTTCATCGCAAAGAGGTCTTCCTTCTCCAGGAACTCAGCCAGTCTCTGTCCCCTGTGGTTCCGTTGCCCATACCCGAATTGCCCCACTCTCAGCTCGTTATCGCCTCGAGTTCCCAGTTTCGCGTTGAAGTCCCCCATAACAACATTGAAGTAGGTTTTATTAGTATGTGTGGCCCTACTTATGTCCTCATACATAACCTCTACTTCCTCGTCTGGGTGTGTCGAGGTCGGTGCATAAACCTGGATAACCTTCAACGAGTATCTATTGGATACCCTGAGTATCAGGTACGCCACCCTGCTCGACACACTTTCGATGGTAAGAATGTTGTTGACGAGGGACCTGTGGACGAGGAACCCGACACCACCTTGGGACAGTTGTTCGCCCTCCCGGTAGTAGAATAGGTTGCCGGATCTTAGGGTTATCGTGTCCTCGCCCTCTCGTCGGACTTCTGACAACCCCACAATACTCCAGTGCAACCTACCCAATGCCTCTTCCAGCTCAATAATCTTCTCGTCTGTCCTCAAAGTGCGAACATTGTGTGTTACCAGGGCCAGTCGTCGTCGGGGGTGGTAGCCTTTTCTCCACCTCCGGGGATTCTTAGCACCCCGTGTCCCGCCGTTACCCTGACCGCTACCACGGTAGCCAGGAACGGCGGGACTGCCGGAGACTGGGGGCCTGGTTTTATCTGAGCAGTTCATATGGGGGGATTTGCCAATACTCACCACGCTTGGCAGGCGGGTTGGCGAGGGCAGTTAGGTCACCGATAATTTTTAAAGAATGCTGCTCCCCATTCCTCGATGTCTGGTCGCAGTTTTAGGACGTACCCGGGTCCAGTGAATTAGGTTATGTTACTAATATTATAAATGCGAAAGCTACGATGTTTGGATATTTGGTACTCAATCACGCCAAAACGGCTGGATGGATCTAGATGAAATTTGGCACAGGTATTGGATACACCCCGGAATAGGCTATTTTTTATCAATATACCATGAGGGCGAAGCCGCTGGCGGAAGCTTACACTCACATTTGTGCAGAAAAAATAAATGTACAGTAAAAGTTGTGTACTTATGTATGGGTAGTCTACACAGTTTCTTTGGGGGCAGGTAAGAAAGTAAAAGGATAGTGCTATTGTTACAATCAAATCGTAATTATATATAGTTTATTTCCATAGATTCAATTAGACATTACGAACGAAAGACCTTAGGTTTACAAAAAATATTTGTTGAACACCGGCACTGAAGATAAGATTTAACTTGAGTTTTGAGTACCACGGTACATACTTATACCATTGGTCAGTTCATGAGCTAAACTATAGTTACTGTCTCTGAAGTGAAAAAACTTTTAATTTTTTTATCTGCGTATTAAATACATAACTATATATTATAAGACTGTCCCTGAATAAGTTCCAACATTGAGACCATCTAACGAGGGAAGGGGACCAGCATCATTGTTTATTACGATGATTTTTTTATGACATAAATCGACAAACAAGGAGTCAAAGTCAAATTCAAAATCATTTATTTCAAATAGACCACAGTAAGCACTTTTGAACGTCAAGCAAAAACTTTGAAGTTCACAACGATTAACAACATGGTTTTGCAATTTAATTATTGAAATCAAATATTCCTCTTAACATCCTGTGGAGTAGGACCAGCTAGCTTCCAAGCATTTTTATCTATACTAATATTATAAAGAGGTAAAATAAGTTTGTGTGTAGGGGGTAATCTTTGGAACCACTGGTCGGATTGTCAAAATTCTTTCACTGATAGATAGCTACAATATTCCTGAGTGCTATAGGCTATAAAACATCACGCTACGATCAAATGGAGCCGAGCAGCGGGTGAAAACGCGCGAGAATAGCTAGTCTTGTATATAATCATTTAGTTTGTAGTATATTTGTCTACATAACCCTTTCTTTACACATAATTTAATTAAATTTGTTTTTATTTAGATTTTTATGCAGACATGGTGTATATATGA